AGCTTTCAAATTGTGTGAGATATATGGTCTTATCGATTTACACAAACAGCTGTATCGATTTAGGGAGGCGGAGTGGGCGGGGTCATCTAATTTGTTAACCGATCTCTTAGGGGAGCAACCAGTAACATACTTTATCGATTTAAACTTTCTGAAATATCGGCATTAGCGATTATAGGCGTAGGTGTGGGCGTGGCCATAAAAATATGTTATCGGTTCATAAAGGCAGCTACCACTAACATACCTACCCAATTCGACTGGCTCTAACTCAAAAACTGCGGAGGATGTAGCCATCTGATTTTTAGGGACGTGGAAGCGGCGATGGTGGGCTTGGCATATGCCAATCTTTGAATGACATCGCCAACAGCCTACCAAACAAATTTTGTGGCTGTAGCCTTAAAATGATGGGAGATATCTGGCTTTATCGATTTGCGAATATCGATTTTATCGATTTCCTAACCACCTGGTGGACGTAGGACTTTTAAGACAAGAGCACAGACTAGTATGTGTTCCAAGGGTGTCGAAAAAAATTGAGTTCATACAGACAGACAAACAGCATAACGGACGTTGCACAAAACCAATATACTATTGATGCCTTCGGAATCTACTGGTATATTCATTTATAAACCACTCGCTAAACAATCCAATATTTGAGTGAGTACATGGGAAATTGTAAATTACACTTTGCTAGTTCTATAAGTTGGTTTAACCATTTCACAACCACATGGTGCGAATTGTTAATATTTACATATTAGCCATATCTTTGATCGCCCGATATTTACACTTAAATTAGCAATATATAATTTTAAATAAATAAACAAAAACCCTTCAGGCTTCAGGTTTTACTCCATCTATAAAAATAAATAACTTGACAGTAAATAGAGTTGAAAATATCGCTGTGGGGTCTGAATTGATTCTAAGTTATTAAAATTGCAATATACGTCGAACAGTCTGGGTAAATATATATGCGGCAATACTACGGAAAAGTTGGTGACTTAATTATTTATTTAACAGTCAATTTGCATTCGAATCTAATTGAAAAAAAAATGTTTAAAAAAAGTAGATAATAATAAAAATAACATATTGAAAATTGTGCGGGAGAACTTTCTTACCAATCTTTTAATTGCGGTAAAGTAAAGGAGGCTAATAATAATTTAATAAACTAAAATTCATTTATAGTCTCGAAATATTTAGCTTTGTAATTATTTACTTAATTGATTAGGTATTTCAATTTTATAATTTTACAATTATATGTCAAATATTTTATCAAGAGTTTCATTGGATATAACTATTTTATTGCTGCATAAGAAGGACTACTTGCTTGAAGAAAAATTCGTTGCGTCACTTATTTTTTATTTTTTTAACTAACACATAATAAAAGAATATGTATCTTTTGATTTCGATTGATTTTCTTATATTGGATAGTTAATTAAATGTTTTGAATATAGCTGAGAACATCATCTTATAATATAGAAGTAATGTGGCAATGTGGAAAAGCGAGAGCTGATTATGTGTCTTGGGCATTGTAAACTCTTAAATAAATATAAATAAGGGAGAGTCTGTCTGGTTAAACACGCTGATCTCAGACAATATATAGTAGGCAGACTTAGTTTTTAATTTGATATATACATAGATGACATCGATACATATCGATTTTCAAATCACATCGTTTCGAGCTCAAACTTACCCTGAATGGAAATAGAAATAGTTTAATTTTCTATATATAAAAGATGTGAATGTTTGATGTTTTTGATCAATACTTTAAAATTCATTACAGTAAATACTTTAACTTTACTTGATTGCCTGCAAAGCCAGGAAATTCCATGTATTCTATATAATATAGCTATGAATGTAAGTAGGGGCTTAAGGGTATTTTCTAATCGGGCAGACTTTACAGTGGCACCTTTTCATATTTGTTTCTAAATCGGACTGTTGACTCACTATTTAAGTTTGCATTATCGTTGACGAGACGATTCATACATAGTCAATATGTGCATATCAGGCCCTGAGCATTTCTGTGCCACAATATTTCAGGCTATTTGATTTGAAATCAAGTATTGTGCGTCGCACTCACTCTCGCTTTTGCTCTTAGTTATCAGTGGCGGCATTAGGCAAGTTTTAACGGCTGTTGCGGCGATAGCAGTTTATAATTGTAGGCTGGGGGTTATGTGGGGGTTACGGTGGGTTAAAGCAAGGCAGATTGCGGGCTATAAAAAAACATAGTTTATTACTGCTGGTTTAATTACTGTCTACAAAATAAAATAATGCAAATGCTCAGCAATAATTTTAGTTAATGTGGAAATAAAATCTTTTAGCTCAAACCAATTGTAATTGTATTTAACCACAATAAACATAAGATTTGTGTGTATATATATACGAAAACACAATATTTTGCGTCTATCTTATGAATATAAAATAAGTATGAATTGTTAAAAGACTTCAGAATTAATTAAAAGTTTTGCTAGACACCGCATAAATAAATAAGCGTAAAGCCATTTATATTTGCATCACAAAATATTCAAATGTATTTAAAAGTTCATAAATGTTCAACATAAATTATAAAATTATAGTATATTTACGGTTACTGTTGGAATACAAAAATAGAATAAACAAAATCAACACCTGCAATTTCCAATTATCGACTTAATTTTCAAGTAAACCAAAACACTTTTTCTTATCGACCAATAAAGCAAAAAAAGAAAAAATGTTAATATGCCCCCCATAAGAGAACACAATAAATTAAAAATAAAGCACACATAATCAAAGCAATTATTACGCTTTATAAATTCCACATTCTCAATGACATCCGTACGTACATCACTACATTATGTATAATGCATACATACATATGTACATGAATTGTCTAAATGTGTAGCGTATTTCGGGGGCTCGACTTGAACGCTTGAATAAGTAAATAATGTGAACGTAATGAAGCTTTGCATATCTATAAATATGTCCGCTTCAGTTTCAGACTGACTGACAGACAAAAATAAAAATAATAGTTCAACAACGGCCACGCTAAGCAAACAACAATATCACAAATCACACATTTTGCGCTTATCATTGACTCCAACGAATTTTGTATGCATTGGCTATAAAATATTTGCGAACAAAATACAAAACAAGATATTTAATTCAAAATAGAACATGAAAATCCAATCGTCGAGTGGTGAATGCTTTTAATCTGAGACTATGAATCGATAAGCCCAACAGCAAGCTGAGAAGAAAACAGGCAACAAGTTCTCATTTTGCGAAACTAACGGTGATGAGGCATTTCAGCAAAAAAAAAAAACTGATACCTAACGATGACGGTGCAGATATATACGCTCTCCACTGCTTTCCTAGCTAGAATTGACAGCAACGCATAAAGCGACGACAAACACACTAAGCAAATGAGTTTATGGCACAACCCATGTTATTTATAGCACCATGCGCTATAATATAACATTTATTTTCTCTTTCTTTTTATTTTGGATAAATAAAAATAAGCAAGATAAAATGAGTTTTTTTTTTTAATTTTTGTAATGCGCTTAACCCTTTGATGATTAAAATGTTATGCAGAATATATTTTAATATTAATTCATATTAATGTATCTGCAATGTTGTTTTTTTATTGATGTCAAAAGCCGTGTTTTAATTTTTTCTTATGTAAAACTTAAAGTTATAGTCCTAAGTGTGTTTTTATCAAAATATTATTGCGAACGCCATCAATGAATTTGAATTGTGTATGTAAACCATTAAGGATGAGTACATTTAAATGCTCATTAATCAAGGGAGGAGGAGTTCAGTTACAAAGTAGAAAAAAACAAGGTGTTAATTGAATGTGTCTTTCGAATGGTGTTGTTAATACCTGTGAATTACTTAAATTATAAAAGTGGCTGCTAATTAGTTATACATGCATAGAACGGATCTATAAAAAGTTGTGATTCATTATGATTCTCTGAAGGCGAAAATACTTTAAATCTTTTTTTATGCAAGGCACGTTTGTGTGCCCCTCCCTCTTAGCATGCACAATAAGTAATTATTTACTTTATATGATATTAATTTTTACTAATATGGGTGTTATAAACTACCAACGGGCATATAAAATGCTGTTGGTTTTTATGCAAAGTGATCTTGCATGGGCAAATTTGAATAGAATGTGTTTGCCGAGGTCACAAACGAAGGGCAGGACTAAAAAATGTATAATTTTCGGTTTTCAAAATATCTTATTAATTTTTTTAGGCTAGTTGTAAGAGCTCAACTGAGTTGTAATAAACTAAATTGTTCTGCAAATGAAATGGAAATAGATGAATTTTTAGTTTTGTAATAAGAAAAGTTTGATTCTTTAAATTACTAATAAAAATGATATGCGATCAGGCTATGCAATGGAATCAACGGCGTGCCCAAGTTATTTGCTTCTTCTTTTTCTAGTTTTTATTAAAGCAACTTTTCTTTGTTTCTTCTTCTATCTGTCTACGTCTATCTTTTGCCTTAGCACATATACAATACACACACACACACACAATTTAATGCCGGCTTTTTTAGTTTTATTTATTTATTTGTTTATATGCTTGCCTTCTCGTTTGCTTTTGCTTACGTTTTCTTCAAAATTAATTTGTATACGTGTGTGTGTGTGTGTGTAGTGTGAATGTAGTGTGAGCAAGTGTCTGTCTCTCTTCACACGTACACATGTATGTATGTATATATGCATTTTTGAGTGCTCCAAGTCTGGTTTTGAGAGAGCGCAGTTCAGCAACAGAAAAATATGCATGTACACATATGCAAACACATACACACACACACACACATAGTATATTAAAGCGTTGATTAACGAACATAGCGACGACAGACATGAACAGACACACGCAGAGCGAAAGCCGCGACAACGTACGATATATTTGTATATGTATATGTTTATGTGTATGTGTGTGTATATGTATGTGGGGCAGAGCGACGCCAGAAGCATTAGCAGAAGCTAGCTGTATGCAGGGTTAGCCGCAGTCAGCGCGCGCGCTCAGTGTATAATTTGTTTGTCGTCGTCGTCGTCGTCGTCGACGGTTCGTGTTTTTCATTAATCAGTAGCACTAAAATGGTGCGCAAGTCCGCTAGAGTTAAAATTCCTACTTGTCGTGCCGTTGGCAGCGTTCTTTTGCGTGCTGCTACCAGCAAAGGCGCTGCTCGCGTTGCTGCTGCTTCTGTTGCATCTGCTGCTGTTGGTGAGAGTGTTAACCATGTCGAGCAGGAGGAGGAGGCAATGGTCAGGCGACGGCGACAACGGGACAGCATTGCAAGCAATTCACTCTCAAGTGATGATGGTGTGTGTTTATCTATGTGTGTGCGTGGGTGTTAGTGTTAGTGTATTTGCCTTGTTTTCATTTGTGTCGTATTAAAATATAAATTTACCTTTTACTTCTATCTATGAATTATTATAAATATATGAATATGCAAACCCAGTTACATAAATACATGTACATATATACATACATACATACATACATATTTACAAACGCAAATATAATTGCTGCCAGCTTTCCAACTCAAATACAATTCGCATATTAATTGCATTTTAAAGCAAAATAAAAAAAAAAAGATTTTAAGTTGCTAAACATGTATTTTGTGGCAGTCTTAACAATTTTGTAACTTTGATATTCGTTGCCTCAACATAATCCACTATATTTTAGATTAAACACAAATCCCTGTTAAATACAAGCAAATTTCCAGGATAAAATGTCATCTTATAAAGTAGTTCGATAATAATCCCAAAGGTTTGCAGTTCAAATGGCTTATTTGAATTTAAATGATCAACTTTTTATTTAAAGTAAACACAGCACAATGCTCTCTTTGATTATATCCAAAGAATATATATATTTATATTATATATTCTTGTAGACCGGAGTTATTTTTAGTTTAATTTTAGTTCGGAGTTTCTGTCTTACGACTGGCGGCGAACTGCATATTTCACATTTGGGTACACATAAACATAAAGAATAAATATAGTCATCTCCTTTAATGCGTTAAAACTATGATACTACCATCAATAAGGGTATCCAAAGTGTTTTCTTTCATTTTATAGCCTGTTTTTGTAACTTATTAAAAAAATCACTTGAACATCAACTGAATTAATTGATCTATTTATTTTATCATTCGCACAGAATCCGCTGAAAGTCCAATAATGCAGGCAGAGGCGTTGCCGGTGGGTCACCCGGCTGGCTCACCTATTGACCATGCCCTGAGCCCCAATGGCGTTGGCCTCGGCCTCAGCAACAGCAGCAACCAGAGCAGCGAGAACTTTACGATCTGCAATGGCAACAGCAATGCCAGCAACAACAATAATAACAACAACAACAATATGTACTCACCAAACATCAACAATCTTGCCAGCGGTGGCAGTAACAACCAACAACAACAACATCAGCAACAACAGCAACAGCAGCAGCAGCAACAACAACAGCAGCAACAACAGCAACAACAATCGCCAACAGTTTGCGCAATTTGTGGAGATCGGGCGACGGGCAAACATTATGGTGCCTCCAGCTGTGATGGCTGCAAGGGATTTTTCAGGCGCAGCGTGCGCAAAAATCATCAATATACCTGCCGGTGAGTGTGATCAGACCAGAGACCAGAGAGAAATCAGACAGGTATAGCCAAAGATCTCCGACATCATATGTATAAGTAAATAAATGCGCAGATATCGTCAAGTTGGCAACGCAAATTTTAAATATGTTGCATTGTGCAGAAGTCACAAATCTAAAATTCTAATTCATGCTTATTTATTTATTTATTTAATTAATGTCAACTAAAGTCAGTCAACACAAAAAATGCAAAAATTAAAAAATTGATTAAATTCAATTTAGAATTATATTTAATCATTAAAAAATAAGAAATATTTATGAGGTTTTTGAGGTTATTTAAATGCAAAATGGTCCAACATTTGTTGCATAAATTGTAGAAAACAAATCAGACCAAAAAGATAATTAGTATGAATTAGTTAAGCCCCCCACAATTATAGAATATCAGAAAGCAAAATAAAATGGGTATATAGCAAATTAAAAAGAAAAGAAGGCACATCGAAATTAAATTTAATTATTAATTAAAAAAAAAAAAAAACGGATTATTTTTACGTAAAATGTAAATAGCTTCACAAAGATACTTTTTAGTGAAATTGGTTTTTCAGTCCATAGCTGCTAGATCAACTAATAATATATGTATATTTAATGGATATAATTACAATTGTAATTTAGATATTTAGATATTTTGAAAAACAAAAACTAATCTCTTGGTCTAGTTGAGTTTCCACAGCTGACTGAACTGGTGCTGTAAATCTAGCCTATCTATCTGATGGGAATCAAAATATATTGGAGTACACAAATAATAAAAATAAACTTGACCTTGAGCCAGCTAAAATAATAAAAAGAGGTCACCAAACAATAAAAAGATAATTGTGAATATTTTACATGCATCACGCGTTCGAAATTTGTTCTTCAATAAGTGCAATTTGTGAGTTAGTCTAGGTCTTGTCTTGTGAGTTGCTCTAGTTTATTTAAGTTTCGAACGAAATATTTAAATTTAAAAAAAAGAGATCATCAAACAATAAGCAATAATTGTCAATATTTTACAGATTCGCGCGCAACTGCGTGGTTGACAAGGACAAGCGGAATCAATGTCGTTACTGTCGGCTGCGCAAGTGCTTCAAGGCGGGCATGAAGAAGGAGGCGGTGCAGAATGAACGTGATCGCATCAGCTGCCGTCGCACCTCCAACGATGATCCCGATCCCGGCAATGGCCTGTCTGTGGTATCCCTTGTCAAGGCTGAGAACGAATCGAGACAGTCGAAAGCCGGGGCTGCCATGGAGCCCAACATACACGAGGATCTCTCCACAAAGCAGTTTGCCAGTATCAACGATGTCTGCGAGTCAATGAAACAGCAGTTGCTCACCCTAGTCGAATGGGCCAAACAAATACCAGCCTTCAATGAACTCCAGCTGGACGATCAGGTCGCCCTGCTGCGCGCCCATGCGGGTGAGCATCTGCTCCTTGGCCTCTCACGTCGATCCATGCAACTGAAGGATGTGCTGCTACTTAGCAATAATTGTGTCATCACCAGGCATTGTCCAGGTAAAGTCAATCAATTCAACCAGCTTTTGTTGTTGCATCGTTTCTCAATGCACAGTTTTATTTGCAACAGATCCTCACGTCTCGCCCAACTTGGATATATCACGCATAGGAGCGCGCATCATTGATGAGCTGGTGGTCGTCATGAAGGATGTCGGCATTGATGAGACCGAATTTGCCTGCATCAAGGCGCTGGTCTTCTTTGACCCCAGTGAGTTAAATAGTTTTTTTTTGGGGACTGAGTAAAAAAATTCACCCTAAATTTAAAAAATTCGCCATACTTTCGGTAAATCTCCTTATTATTCACAAGGTATATTTCTAAAAACCCGGGTTTTTAATCTTTCAATTGTATTGTACATTTTTCTAATATTCAGAAAAAGTTTGTAATTTTTAGAATTCATTTTTAAAAACAAGATAAACTTGCTAGTTTTCGTGTTAATTTTAAAATAGCCAGACAAATGAGATTTATATGATTTTATAGTTTTATACATACAATTCAAGTAGCTCGCATCTTTCTTCCCTGCAGATGCCAAGGGTCTCAATGAGCCGCATCGCATCAAATCCTTGCGCCATCAGATACTCAACAATCTGGAGGACTACATTTCGGATCGGCAGTATGAGTCACGTGGCCGATTTGGCGAGATTCTGCTTATTTTGCCGGTGCTGCAGTCAATCACCTGGCAGATGATCGAACAAATACAGTTTGCCAAAATCTTTGGCGTGGCGCACATCGATTCGCTGCTGCAGGAGATGCTCCTGGGTGGTAGGTGCACCCGCTTTATCCAATATAACCAGTTGATATAGTTTTTTGTATTGCTTCCGGTAGGTGAACTCGCGGACAATACACTGCCCTTGTCGCCACCAAATCAGTCCAACGATTATCAGAGTCCCACACATGCTGTAAATCTGGACGGCAGCAGCCAGGCGAGCACCGCTCTGGATACGCTGGCGACAGTGACTAGCGGCAGCCATGGCCTAGACTTGGATGTGCAGCACATACAGGCGCTCATCGAGGCCAACAATACGGAGGACACTTTCCGTGAATATGCGGCCAACAATGCAGCAACGGCTGCCATGCCAACGTCCGCAGTCACGCCACCCCTGAGCACTGCTGCCTGTAGTCCAAAATCGCAGGAGAGCAACGCCTACATGGATGCAAGCCAACGCCAATACAATGTCCAGCATAAGAGCCAGATAGTGCACAGTCACAATCAAAGTCAACGCGTGCATCCCTACCAAAGAGTGCCAACATCGCCGGTCGATGCCGGACTCGTAATACGCAATCCGGCGGATATCACTCTCAATGAATACAACCGCAGCGAGGGCAACAGCGCCGACGAGCTGCTGCGGCGCACCCCCCTCAAAATACGTGCTCCCGAACTGCTAGCACCTACCTATGTGATGGGTGAGTAACACCAATAATAATATTAATGCAATAATAAAATAATAAACTCAAGTAAAAAAACAACGAACGAAAGTCACGGATTGACAACTAATTGAAAATTATTGGAAATTTGTATATATTACGTGTTATTTAAATAATATATAATTGTAAGTAAAGTAATTTATCCGAACTGAAACTGTTAAATGATCCGATTGTGCAATAAAGCTGGAGGTGGGCACGTATCCAGAATTCTGAATGTGGGAACCGATCACCCGTCGGCATCGCTTAAAAATAGCTTTAAAACATTATATTCTGTTCATAAATGCACAAGAATAAATTCTGTTCCCACACCTGTATAAAAAATAGCTACATTTTATGGCATACAAATGTTATTCGCTATTCGCTGATTCTAAAAAGGCGATGGAACTGGCTACATCTTACCATCTTCACAACAATTGCACCCATTGCAAAATATAAATATAACCATTATGTCCATTTTGGTATACGATATTACTACTATCTTAATCTTTTTAAATATTAAGTCCGAGAATAACTTATATCAAAATGTAAGCGTTATAATTGTCAGAACTAATGATAATTATTGTCATTATAATTAGAACCGAACGAATTAAGTTAACTTTTCATTTATTTATTTATTTAAATATACTACAAACTCTTATCAGAATCTCTTAATATGAAAATTTAAACTTATCTGAATATTCTATTTTTTACAGAGCCATGTCGCATGACGCTCAAACAGGAGCCCGAGACAGGCTATTAACTGGTGCAATAAGGCAAACTACACACACTACACTACACACACAACACATACTACACTACACACACAACACACACATACACTACTGTACACCTGTTCTGATTCCTGCTCTTCATCACATCGACAGGTCGCACTTGCTAGCTGCTAAGTGTAGAAATAAAACACAGAAAACTTACTTAATTGTTATTGCCTTGAAATTTTTGATACCTTTTTATTTAGACTTTAAGTAGGTATTTTGGAAATTGTTGCTTAATATGTAAATCACACAATTGCAATATATTTTTGTATTTTATTATATATATTTCTTAAAAACATAACTGAAGTTAAAGGATTTTGCTCAAATTATTCTATACGTACTGTTTTCATCTTGTTTGTTATCTATACAATATACAATATATATATATACATACATATATAGAATTCGGATAAAATTATGTACATATGCATGATGCATGCTTATACATGTTCATACATATGTATGCAATACTTTGTTTTAGGCTAAGGTGTTGTTTAGTGATAAGACATATTTTATATGAGTACTTTTAATCCTTACCTGATAAATAATGAAGAACTATTTTTATATGGAAATATAAATATACACATGTATGTATAAAATACAGAATAATTTAATGTGGATGAGTGAATAAAAAACACAAAGAAATATGCAACAAAAATGTAAGAATGTTAAATCCAGCTGTTAAATATATTATTCTAGTTTATTACGAAATTTCCCCCTAAAAAGCATTACATACACAAATGTAAGCAGTTGTGCAAGTGCCTCCATTTCCTACATTTTTACATAAATATATATACATCATTATGTATTTATATAAACACGTATTTATATTTATGCTCGCTTATGTCAGTCAATGTTGAAATCGTTTTGAGGCACAATTTTATTCACATCCGATCTTCATTACATTTTAGCAGTCTAACATAAATAGAAAATATGATGTGTGAATATGGGGTCGGATATTATAAAGTTCAGGGCATAATTATAATACCCTCTGTAAGGGCAAACAGAAAAAACGTTTTAATTGAGACATTTTTGATTATTAATTCGAAATTCCGCGCATACTATCGCCATCGCTGAGTTGCAACTTGATTAACATATATCGATATACCCCTGTAACTTAACAGATCATTTGAGCAGCCACAAATATTACTATCGATACGCATGATTCGTGAGCAAATGCTGATCCGATATATTTAGAGAATACTCACAGCTGACGAGCAACCCAACACTATTTTTTAATGCCATTTCATTTTTCATTGTGCGCAATAAAGTGAGCTCCCAGTAAACTAGCTGAACCCAATATTAACTGGTGAATCAGCAACATAATTGTTAATATTTTTAACTATTTTAGATTCAAAAGTTTCCAATCAAATATTAATATTGCAAGAAGGTCTAGCTAGACAGCAACTAGCATAATCAATATGTTTGCACATAAGTTCATAATATGCACGACTTTGCTCCTGTTGAGCACCTCTGGTAAGTAACTGTTCAACTGCAAAAAAAAAGAAAAAAACCTGTGCAACTCTTTGTTCAATTTATTTCTGCCTGTTCATCGCGATTTAATTTCAATATTGTTTTTTTTATTGTTCGCCTATTGTCATCTCGCTTGCACACGTAATAATCCGTTCGACGGACTGATTGTTGTTTTGGTTTTTGCTGTGGAAATATACAAAACTAACTCGCATGTAGAATAATTATTGCGTATGTATGTGAGTGCACACATCTGTGTATGTATGTATTTGTATTTGCAGCGCATTGACACTTATCACTTATTTTTTCCCCTTGTTTTCTTGTGACACTCTTGTTACTGCTTGTGAAGTGTAGGGACAAGGCGCATAAGAAAACCCCACAAATCTAAAAAGATGGTGGCTTAGACGAAGGCAAATGCAAATTGCAGTCAGAGCTACGCTTTCAGCTCTTGTTGAACTTTATACTATAGCACACACACACAGAAAGTTATTCACATATGTATACATGAGTGGATATATGTGAAGGGTATCGCATGATGCCCTTATCTCTAAGCAACAACAATTGTACCTGCATTCAGAAGCCGCTCAGATAAAGCAATTGTATTTCTTCTCTCCGGCATGTTCTGCCGGCAGCATCGACCCCTCTCCTCTCCTCTCTATCTATACTAAGAATGCAGGCATATTCAATTTTTCTGTCTTGCCTTTTTTCCTATTTGCTTTTCTTCTCTTTCAACACTTTGTTGTCTTCTGTTGAGTGACAGTCATAAACTGCATATACACACACACATATACAGATATATAATTATCTCTGAATCACAACTACATTTAAATTGTTATTTATTTAACTTATTTATTCGCCTGAGGCACATTTGCTCTCACGTCCATCGCTCTCTCTCTCTCTCTCTTTCTCTTCATTTACTCTCCTAACTGTGATTTCTGAAGTCACATGTACATATGATGCACATATAAACTCAATCATATAAGTATGATGTGTGTATTTTCATATGCTGCTTCGATAACACCCCCAAAAACAAATTGTTGATTGTTTGTCAATTACCCATTTATCAACTCACGCAGCATCGCGTCTGTTAATGTTATTTTACTTTGCATAAGTCAATAAGTAGCTCTGAAAGGTTTGACTAATTATGGTTCCACATCATGGAGTCTATCCTATTAAGCATTTCTGGTCTGCTTTTAGACATCTTAGATTTATCGAATCAAAATTTTAGAAGCAGATTTCTCTAGAGAGACAACAAAACACTGACGCTAAGCAAGCTCTGAACAGCAAGCTGGTGAAATCAAATCTAGTATTTTTCAGAAATAATTATTTCACCACAAATGAATACTAAGTATGATTATTATCTACAATTTTAACAAGTTTAGATTTTCGAGAAATTATTTTAATTTATAAAAATAATAAAAGTCAACTCAAGCTTATAATAGTTTTTTATATTAGCATTTAAAATGTTGTATTTTATTATTTTTATGAAGTTGTACAAGTTAATCATTCATTAAAACTAGGGAAACACGAGAAGAAAATAAGAAAACATTCTAGACGTTCATAGAAATGGAAACTTTGGAGTATCATTAATAGCAAGGGGCGAAAGCAAAAGAAAATGGAAAACTTAAATTCGTCTTTCATCTTGCATGCTCGTGCCAAATAAATCTTCTAAACTTGTGCATACTATGCATGTCTGAAAAGCAGGCGAGTTATGTATCCAACTGTCTGATTATTCGCTGTATTGTTGTCGATTAACTCGTGTTTAAAGGTCATATCTGAGCCCTGATACAAAAGTGCGGACTGGCAGAACGGGGGAATGAATAAGCGTAACCGCAAGTAGATAGAGGCAGAAAATAGCTAGGCTTTGACAATATATGCATATGTATGTGAACAAAGTATATAGCAAAGGTTTCTTGAGTCATTCATAATTAGCTAAAGCAAATTGTGACTTACACAGCTAAGTTGAATAGTTCTTACAAACACGTTTGCTCACCTCTTTTTATTCGTATTGATTTGAACTCGTCTTCCTCAAGCAGTTGATCGCATAATCGATATTGATCGATTGATATCGATATCGTAATTTGCGTACAGTGTTTCATGTTATTTAACAGATGTTATGAATCCAGCTCTATGTCACTAGTGGTCTGTTACAATATATATATATCTTAAGTGAGATTTAATCGAAAAAGTCTCCTGTTCAATGCTAGTAGCTTCTACTGATAATAAAATCTATTATCGGTGGAGTCAGCGTGATGTTGTTTTATTTGTTAGTTTGGGGCGTTCCTAAGGCAATTTATCACGTTTCACAATGTAAACAAGCGGAAATACATCAGCACAAGTTGATAAAAGAGAATCTACAAGTTGCAAACACAAGTTGTCAATTGTATCAATTAGCTATGATTTTCGTAAATGTTCTGAGCCTTTTCTGGAGCGAATTCCAATCGTATCCATTTTTTGCTTACACTCGACTTAAATCGTCACTTTGTAACGTTTCGCTGACATGATATTTGCTTATCAATTGCCGCCTGTGCAAATATTTATATTATGAATCAATATGACTCACTCAGATACTGCTCGAACAGTCGTGCAGGAAAGAACACAATCAAGAATGCTGATAAATATAGTAGAATAAATAAACATAATGAAATTAATACTTTTCAAAGTTATATGATTTTGTGGGAAATTTAATTATATATAAGGCCTTTAAGCTGCGCTCTCAATTTTTGCTTTCTTAAGCCACTGATAACATTTTGCATTTATATAATTAATTAGTTCTTTTGTTTAATTTGTGTTTTTAAGAAAATTGATTGTTGGCTGTAAGAAAGTTAATTAAAACACAAACAAAATATTCCAGTTTGAATGTTATAAATTCAATGTAACCTGAAATGTAACCAGTTTCTTACATACTTAACAAGTAATTAAGTCAGAAATTGAACAAAGTGTAATAGAGTAATTAAGGCTTGTTTATAGATTTCTATATAACAAATGTGTTTAATGTTTTGTTTGCACATCTTACAGTACTTTCCCAGAAGTTATATAGCCTGAAAAATGCAGATATTCCCGAGCAGGAAAAGCCGCTGACATCGAGCAGCAGCAGCAGCAGCACTTCGACGACCACAACTTCAACTACTACCACGACTACCATGCCAAATCCCCCAATTACATCATCATCAACAACAACAACAACGACGACAACCATCAAGCCACCTACAACAAGCACCACTGCAGCTCCAACAACCTCGACGACTCCAGCTCCTGTGCCGACCACCACGCATAAGCCACAACCTTATCCAGCGCCCAGCATGGGATCATGGAACAGCAGCTGCATTTTGCTCAATATGGCAGCACAGCTGAACTTTACCTATGAGACCATTGGTAAGTTAAGCTTAATATGATCTTAATGCCGAGTCACTTCTTACTCCTCCTCACTATCCTTTCAGACGGCAACATGACCACTGGCTTGTTCAATGTGCCCACCGATGCGAAAGTGGATCACTCGATTTGCGATAGCCAGACCTCGCAGAGCATGCAGCTCAACTGGGGTCCCGCTGCCTTGCCAGAATTTATAGCCTTGCAGCTGGATAACAAGAATAAATCCATCTCACTCACATCAGTACAGATGCAAATAACGGTGTCCACCAAAGATTATCCCGATGCCAAGGGTGAGCTTGACTTATAATATTAACGCTATGCAACATCATTTTTATTAGTAAACTTTATTTATCTACCTTGATGTTTGTAAAAAGCAGACTATTTCGAAATCCAATCAAAAATGTAGATATCAGCAGATTAACTTTGATTTACAATTTTATCTAATCATCGGCGTGTCCAAGATAATGATTCTTCTTCAGTTTTCACTGATGAGTCATGTTACTTAAAGCTCCTCTTTCGACCAATTTATCCTATGGCAGCTCTATGATATATTGGTCCGATCAGGTAATCTCCGACCAGAAAAAAAAAGAATAGTTATCGACATAGAAAAAATGTAGTGTTGCATAGTTTTATTATCAATTCAATTTATATTCATAATTATAAATAATACCTTTATTGTTTTGCAGAGAATCAAACTGTTTATTTCATACGCACAAGCCAGAACAGCGACTTCAAGACGCCCGAGAAGATGTCGTACCACTGCACTCGCGTCCAGAAGTTCAACATGACGGAGACCCTCAACCACAATGAGACCATGGCCACCATCAGCTTCAGTCATGTGCAGGTGGAGGCGTTCCGCCCCAATAATACCACCGGCTTCTCGGCGGTGCACGATTGCGACAGTTCAGAGACCTCCGATGTGGTGCCCATCGCTGTCGGCATTGCCCTGGCTGCACTGATAATGGTTGTGCTCATTTCGTATCTGTGCGCACGTCGTCGTTCCACCTCTCGTGGCTACATGAGCTTCTAAGCAAGTCAACAAATATAGTTAGAATGGGAGGCAGAGGGATAAAGAAGCGGAAAGAAATCAGTAAGTGCAGGATAGGTATGAGGAGATGTACAAGAGATACCAGATATAAAGTGTGTCCAGGCGTGGATAGCTAGTGCGTTGTAATCCGAGAGAGTTGTAAGATTGATTTTGTATTTGGCAGGCACTGTAGGAGAAAAGAAATTTAGACATTTGTTGTGTATCATAAATATTTTGTAAACGGTTCTTGTAATTGTTCGGTTTTTCTTTTGTAATTGTTTTTCTTCGTCTAAATGGATGACGCGCTTGAAGGAGGGACAAAATTATCTGTGTCGATGTATGTTTGGCTGCTGACCGACCTACAGAAATGGAAGAGCGTGGCATTCGAATAATACTTAGAACACAGTTTTTACTATATATCATAACCTAAATCCTTTTTACCACCACCTTTACGACACACGACGACAAACGCAAATTTAATCACATGCATATTCAAACAATAGAAAAACCACTTACCTAATAATTAAATGTTCGCTTAAATTAAATAGGCGTGTGGCAAAGGTGAAAGTGAGGGCAAGCGAACCGAAAAAAAAGGGGGAAGAACATGGTGAGACGGCAGAGTGGGCGACACGCTTGTTTCGTAAATGACAACAGCAACAGCAAACAGAAAAACAGTCAAATTTTAAATATAATATATTGATTTTAAATTGTAAACAAAATCAGCTTATGTATTATTTGCCTTGAAAACGTAATAAACGATAAACCAAGCAAGTGCCGAGAGTGTGCGACTATTAGTTATCCTGTGCCAGCCCTAACATATATTTGCAGTTGCTTATGTGTGCCTAATAAAACATACGTATATACATACAAAATGACTTAAATAAATTTGATATCTGGAAAATTGGTAGATCCCAAAAATTATATTAAAATTCGAGAATATTTGGCTAAAATTCAGTGCTTATCGCTCGAGCAGACCGCGGAAATTAGCAGTTGAAAAAGGGCGACATACGATCAAAATAAAGCGAAAGGAAACTATAGAATTGAATCAGGCATGTAAGCATGTGCCGTTGCATTTCTAGAACGTGCAGCTATTTTTCACAATCATTGCATGATTTTATAACCTTTTTGACCATTTTAAATGGGTGCAAAATGCAAAAACTGCTACTGGGAGCGAAACACTGCTTGAAGACAAATGCGCTGCTTGTGTATTTAATATTGGAAGGAAAGCAGTGCAGTAGACGCGTCAAATCTATTGAGAGCGATAACTGCTTGATGACAATTGCACTGCTTGTATATTGGAGGGAAAGTAGTCAATTCGCTAAGCTTCAAATTCTGTTTGCCTGAAAAATTAACATTTCAATTAAAATGTATTTTGATTTACAGATTTTCACACACATTATGACTAGTTCAATATAATGCCAACTTTCTTTAAATGGGCAGCAAACTGTCTGCATTCATTTCCGCATCATCGTCCGAGTCGTTGCTCTGCTGTCCTCGAAACATTCCTGTGCGAGGACGTTCTGCTGGCGGGCCTAGGGGATCCACATGCTGTTTAACTATATGATTGGATTTGACATTACTATTAAGCATTTGCATTTGGATTAGGGGAAGTGTCTTACCCAGGTAAGAGTTGCCGCTTTGCAGGAACTGTTCGCCATTGTAGCTCGTTGGACTCGACATGAGAGTGGCCGAGATGTCGATGTTCTCCTGTAGGCGCTCCTCATTTGACTGACGCAGTGCTGTGTATGAAATGGAGGCAATTGTCACACTAAAAACAAAGATCATCTTTTTTTTGGATATGGCTTACTTTTGAGGCGACTGTTGGCCCTGCCGGAGGTGGCAGACGATAGGCGCTGCTGCTGATAGCGCTGTTCGTTCTGACGCTCCTGTTGCTGCTTCTGCAGCCTCACATAATCCTGGCCATAGCGCTCGTGCAATTCGCTCATACCCAGCGACTTGGTCACTTGCATCAGGGCGCGCACACAGGTCAGGTTGTCGGGAAAGCGGGCATAGATGTTCTCAAACATGCCCAGATACTGCTTGGGCGGCAGATACGAGTTGCGAAAGCAGCTGGCAATGCGAAGCATCAGATTGGGGTCATTGGGATCGGCGAGGACGGCACGCTCATAGTAATAGAGAGCCTTCTCGGTGGCCTGCAGCTTTATGTAGTAGGAGCCAATGGAGCTGGCAATGCTTATGTCACTCATATTGATACGATACGCCTCGTTATAGTATTGATTCGCCTCCTGGTGATCCTGTCGCTGCTCGTACATGCTGCCCACCTTCTCGAACAGACGCGAATCAATGTCGGACGCCGAGATGCCCAGCACCTGCAGATAGGCTTGGAGTGCACCAGACGAGGAGGCGGATGCACTGCTCAGGCGGCGCTCCTGCAGTTTGGCCAGCTGATAGTAGACATGGCTGTGCTGCATCGAATGCGGCTCCATTAGTTGTGCCTTCAATAGCTCAAACTGCTCCTCGGCCTGCTCGAAATCTTGTTCTTGCAGGGCAATCAGACCCAAATTGTAATTGGCCTCAAAACTAGTCGGGTCCAGTTGCAATGCACGCTGCAATCGCTCCCTGGCCGAGCTGAGATTCTGATTCAGTTTGTCCACAATGCTGGCATTGACAAGCGCCAAAGGACTCGTCTGCAGTGCTCCGATCTCTTGCAGTTGATTCAGGCAATGGGTGGCCATCTCCATGTTGCCCAGCTACAAAGGAAATTGTCAGGTAAATAGTAAAATCTATTTCTATACATAACGCACATTTATGTAGATAAAACTGAGATTGGTCAGTGCACTGGCAGTCATGGAGCTCTCGCTTTTGCGATCGTACATTTGCAGCATCTCGATGGCCTGATTGACATCGTTCTGGCGCAGATAGACGAGCGCCTTGTTCAGCTCCAGTTCGTTGGCCAGCCAGGATAGATTTGATGTCCTTATCACCTCAATGCACCAGTTATACCCTGTGTGGAAAAGCGAATATAAATTATGCATTTTATTTACTATTGTCACAACTATTATGGAAATACTAGTCTGTGTTCTAAATCTATAATTTATAGTATATAGTCTGTAGCTAGTCTTAGCTCATTTAAATATAACCGTTAATTACTCAATGTGTGACCATATATCTAATTATGTTGGGCAACTCTATTAATCGATATTAAAAGCTATCAGTGATGATGATCGAGAGATGGAAACATCGATAAGAGTTGGCGACATTTTTAAGCGAAAAGAATGTGTGAAGAAATTAAATAAATCGAATTCATAATAGCCCGTTATACTTACCATCATTATAATTCTCCTCAATGAGTGGGGATATCAGATCGACAATCATTGTAATGGAGCGTTTCTCTACATTTCTTCGCTGTTTGGTATAAATGGCCAATTCATCGGTCTTGAGGGCCTGCAAAACATACCGATTCTTTGTATTCGCGGAGCTCTTGTTGGTCTCATTGACTTGCTCATAGGAACTGCCACCATTTGCATCTATGATGGCCACCTCCGCATGAGTGTCTCCAACTTGCGCCTGAGTTGTGCCCGATTTTTCGGCATGCTCCGCCTGCTGCTGTAGTCGTATAATATTGTTCTCATTCTCCAAGTCGCGTTCGTTTTCAACGGGCTGCACTTCGCACAGGGAGCGAAATGTGCTCTTGATCTTGTCTACATCTCCCATGGCATAGTAACAGAGTAGCAAGTGGATGCCACTGCGAATATCTGCCCGTTCCGACATGATGAACTCAAAACTGGAGGCAGCATCCGAATATTGACCCATCCGTACGAATAAGACGCCAATATTCTCGGTGATTTTCAGACGCAGCTGCTTCAGCGTGTTGGGCACCGAATCCAATGCCATGCGATACATTTTAATAGCCTTCTTATGCATTCCCATCTTGAAATAGATGTTGCCCATGTTCAACTTCAATTGATTCACGTGGGGAAACATTTTATTCTTGGTCATTATGTTATAGGTGTTTAGGGCCTCAATGTGCATCTCATTGTGCTCGTATTGCTCGGCCAGATTGAAGAATACCTAAGTTAGCATTATATTACAGAATTATTAAATATATAAATGTACAGATATATAATATGTGAAAGAGCAAAGAGTGGTCGACTTAGAGATTTAATTTTAAGAGTTAAAATCCAAATTCAAATCAATTCTACATCTATCTTATAAAAGGTTGATTACCAACTTTCACTGGATACAGAACCATGTTTAAGTAAGCATTATTTGCCTGATTTGAACATGACTTTTAAGGTAATAGCAGGAAAGTTAAATTTTTACATTAAGTAGGTAGCTTTTAAGAAACTCTCACATAGGAAATGATTTTCTAATCCGAATTCAAATGAAATACAAAAAATTGTTTGGAAACTATTTTCCGCAATTGATTTTTAAGCTGATTGGATTCAAAGCAAAAGTTTCACACAAAAACAAAAGTTGTTTTTACCGCATAAGTCAATTCAAAATTGTGAAACACATTCTCGCCCTGCTTGTCCTGTTCATGATGCAGTATGCGATCCAATGAGGATGCATCCTTTGCCTTGTTCAGCGCTTCAGCCAGCGAAGACTTCACTTCAGTATTATTATTGGGGCCACTGGGGCGATTTGGTGAACAGCGGGCTGCCAGCACTATCGATGATTCCAGCAGCTTGACTATTTTTGTTTCCATATTCTTGTACTTGATCTGCGGACTGTTGTGCGTATTAGTGTATCAAATTAATAGAAATCGAATGTGCCACTTACTTGACATCCTTGGCTGCATCGACAGCGGCATTGGCCGACGACAGCGCCTGTTGCTTGACCTTCTCCAGAAAGAATTGATCGAAACGCTGACCCGCCGATCCGCTGCTGCTGGCCGCATATCCCACAGCCCGCACTGCTGTCGACGGCCTCGCCAGAGCAGTTCGATCGCCGGCAGTGCGACTACTGACCAAATTGCCACGCTATAAAAAATATAACACATAAATTGGCGAGTAACATTTTCAAGCTTTGCACTTACTGAAAAGAGCTGCGAAGTTGGCGGTCTACCGGCAGCTGTTGGAGGCGGAGGTGGCACTGATGTAGCTGGTTCCACATTGCTGGCAACTCGATTGTCCTCAGTTTCCTTTTCACTCATTGTCTATTTTGGCTAATGTCTTCTTAAGTTGTAAATTTAATTTATGCTCAGGTTTGTTAACAGAGCTCGCTGTAAATATCATTTGACATGGTTCAGCGTTGCCTAGGAAATTGGGTTTTTAGTATGTTGTTGTCATCGGGAAAACCCGTTGCTAGGCTTTAATTGACCACAGTGTTGGCTAATCGATAAGTTTATATGAACTGAGTTTATAGCTGAAAGTAAGCACCAAGCAGAACATTTTATGAGCTCTCTGAAGTCTTTACAATATATAAATGTTTCACTGAAATTCCACAACAGAATTTGCTTCATGTTTGTTGTTGAAGTAGATTGCTATTATATTAGGAAAGGCCGGATGGATGTTAATATTAATAAAACTAAATATGCACTTTCTTGACCTGCGTCAACTCTATTGAAATTTAGCAAATTTATTCAGGACATTATTTAAATAAATGTAAAATCTAAAATAATATTTTATAAAATACAACCCAAGTCTTTCCAAACCATAATAGCAAATGTGTCGTAAATATGTAAATTCGAACGCCCAAAATATTCCAAAAAGATAGAAATCGAAACAGTAAATTCAAAGAATTTTTAGGATTTTTTAATAGCGAGAGTCAGTAAAATTTTGATTTTACACCCGATTCTCGAATATCGCCAATTTTGGATTTCCAATGGCGATAAAAAAATAAAAAAAAACAAAATCTAATAAAATAAACATTTCAAAGGCAAAGGCTCCTTATCAATACATTATACATAATAATAAAAGGTATTCTCATATTTATGTAATTTCTACCAACAGCCGCAAGCTTATTCTGCATGCATATAAATGCCAGTTATTTTATTCTTCAGTTCCGGTGCACATTTTATATTCCTCAGAAGTATAACAGGAAAAAGAATCAACCAGAAAGTAATTCGAGTTCTAATTCTGTGTTTTATTCACTTGTGATTAGATATCGAAGAGTGATCACATCGGCATTTAAACAAATTTCTCTTTACTAATTGTGGGTAAGTCACTTTCTGTTGCCAACATGAATCCAGTTTGCCTGACGGACATTAACAAACCCGAGTGCCAGACATGGATGAAGGAAGTCTGTGCCCGTTGCAGAAAGCTGTTGAACCGGCATGCCGGCGAATTCACATTGTTCGATGAGACACCAGCGGTATACAAGGATGTGCTGGACATGACTTTCAATGACTGCAGCAAACTGAAACATCTGCTTCAACTGGAGGTGGCTGCAATACACAAACGAGAAATTCTATCGAATTTTACGTGGTGGCAAAAGTTATTGTTAATCTTGGTCTATATTGGAATCGTTGTGCTGTTTGTGCTCGTGTTTCGTTATTGTAGGAAAGCATATCAAGCCGGAGCTCAGCAGTTTGACGAAGAATCCGCCAAACCGCCGACACCGCCTACCGAAAAGGCCCAACCGCCACGCCAGAAGAGCGAGAAGCGCAAAAAGTCCTTAAAGTCCTGGTTGCACTATAGATGTCGCCCCATATTTGTCCATAACGAGGCAGCACTGAGACGTCAGCAGGCCAAGTACAAGGAGGTCGAGGCTAATAGGGAGGAGCATACGCAGAAGAACATTGACAAGTGGACGAAGGCGCGCGAAAAGGTGGAAAGAAAGCGGCAGTTCCAAAGGGATACAATCAAGATGATGGAACAACAAAAAAAGCAAGAAAGACGATGAAAGTAAACAATAAAACGTCATCAAATATATTTAATGTTGATATTTATTTATTTAAAAATATTGTTTACCTCTTGATACCACTACTCAAAAGGTTGGGGGTCTATTCTGCAAAAAAAAAACAAGAAGCAGGGAACGCAACCCAAATTATACATGTTTCTACAAGATCCCAAAGGATGCTTCATGCTTGGTGCTTATAGGAACAATTGTTCAATATATAAGTTCTTGTATGGAAAAAAGTTGTTCACCAAAATACCACAAATTTTGTGTTATTATGTTCCTCAAATTTGGACAGTATATTATAATTATCGGACTACTTCATATTACAGCTTATTTATAAAAATTATTACTAAATAATTTTTTGCAAATTAATAAAATATCTCGAGGTGATTGAGTTAGGATTACTAAGGGATGATTTAAGCTTTCATATTATTAACGGAAAACTAAAAACCAAGAACTTATTCTTTGTGTAAAGTGCATTTATCAATTTAATGGTTATCGAATTTAATTTACAAAATCTTTTATAATAAGTTCTGCTTATCCATTTGTATGAACGCAACTAGGCACTGAAACTACTTTCCTTACAAATGCTAAAAACCTATATCTTCTGCTTATTTTATTGTGATTTAGGGCTGGGCGAATTTATATTTAATATAGAATATAAAACTACGTTTTAAAATCAGCTTCATGGTTTTTAATCACAATAAATATTGCTCACTTCGAATTAATTTCTTTAACAACATTTTTTTTAGCAGTCCAAGTCATTGCGAGGCGCGAATATGTATAAATTTATAAAGTGTTTTTTGTTTACAAAATGTATAAATTTAGTTGCTTAGGCTTGTAATTCACATTACACTGTCATAGTTTAGTTTGTGTTTGTTGTTAATTCTAAATTTTACATGTGCCACTTAATTGCTTAAAAATATGCGTACTAAAATATTTGCTTAGCTACTTTTAAAAATGTTGACTGTCTTTTAGGTTCTGTTATTATAGTTACACATATACACATACATAAATGATTTCTTATAAGGCAAGTTTTTAAGTCACTTTATTGATTGCATTCAGCGCTCTTTATATAGTATATAGTATATACATATATATCATTTATATATACAGTGGTAGCTATATAATTGTGAACAGCTTAATAAAATTATTTTATCCATTACTATTTTGCTTGACTATTTTTTTTTAATCCTGATTGTAAAATGTAACTCTTAGATATGAAATATTGAACATGCGCTCGTGGTTGGGAATAAGGCAAATTCTAAGCAATAAATTACCAAATGCATTTCGATTGCTTAGGTATTATGCACACTACCTTCGTTTTTAAGTCTATCAAGAATATTAAAATTGGTCCATGGAAAGAGTTATAGTATAAAATTCCTCAAAATGATTATTAATAATTATGTTTAAAAAATAATGTGCTCACAAACTATAACTATAAACAACACTTGTAACAAACTGTAACTAGATGGGTAAGCCTTCGCATCCTTAAGGTGCTAAAAAGCTTTTTTAATGTATGTATCAAGGGTAACATAAACTCCTAATAAATAATTGGTGTCACTAATTATATGGCCATCACTGTATACGTATATATAAATAGCAAATATAATTATTTATTTACTCATATAGCCTCAGAAGCTTTGAAATGTATTGAAAATTATTTTGTTTTTATATTTTCTATAAAAATTTTTGCTATTCAAGCTGTTTTTTTTTATTTGTAAAGTAGTAAAAAATATTCTCAACATTTTTAACAAGCATATATCTGTGCTAGCTTCACATAGTCTGTATGTTTATAAGGCTCACTCGTTGTATATGGTAATAAGTAGCGAGATCAAATGTGTCTTTAGGTTTGCGCGAGTCTATAAAGAAATACAAAAACGACAATGCACGAACCATTTCTACTTAAACTAAAGTGTTCTTCAAAAACACTTTCCTTGTGTTAATTGTCAGCTTTTACATGAATAAGTTGACCTTACATACAATATTTTTCGTTGTGCAAAATATAATTTATAATTATTATACGTGACTTCTGTTCTAGCTTTCTTTGGTTTGTTTTTTTAATTGGTAAGCTTTGTAAACGCTGCTTGGTCCAAGAGTTATATACAGTCGCTGGACAGCATAGCTATGTGAGTTTCTTAGCCCATTTCAGGTCATCGTCACGCGGCTTCAAGCCCGTCAAACGCTCAATAATAAACTCAAAAGATGACCAAAATCTAAGAGCAAAGATGTCAGTTATTAATTAGTTTAAGGTTTTTTGATTTTAAGTTTTTTCAGCTACTCACCTGAGCAGCTCCAGTGGCCAGTTTAACCAGCCGGTGGTTATGCAAAAGTACGTCTCATGCGGCGCCACATGATGTATACGATGATGTTTGCGCGGCAGAATTATATGACAGCTTTGCAGCAATAGCACCCATCTGGGTAGGCCCCAATATGTATGCGACCACTTGTGTATCTAAATAATAGTGCATTTTATCAGTAAATAATACATAAATTGTTATATTGAAGAACAAATCTAGTAACTGCGTTAGTTTGTAAGCTCACCTGATTCGTCATAGCCACAAAAATGGAGCATAGAAACACATACGCTATCCATCCGAAATTCTGTTGTATCTCGCCCGGCGATTTGATATAAAAATAATGCGCTAAATATCCAAGTATGGGTATGCCAACCATAAAGTTATCGCCATTTGTCTCAATAAAATCGTGTCGCGTTATTGACGTGGGATCCAAATGGTGTTCACGAAACGGTCGCAAAAAGTTCTGGCCATGGACTTTAAATTGTATGTTTTAATTCATATCTGTAAGTTTTTACGCTTACCTTTCCAATTACAGCCAAGTCAACCGAGCCCCATGTATCCGCTGCCCAGTGCACCAGGCCCGATGCGAAGTCTGCCGTCAGAATGCCACACAGTGCAGAGAAGAAGGTGACGCTGATGCGTTCCCAACGCATGTGACTCATGATTAATGCCAAATTTATGATCATCAGGCCGATGCAGGTGTAAACACAAACGACTTCCTGGGCCCGTTTACCTGGATATTGTATTTATTACATTACAATCAATTATTTCTTAGGACGTGCGAAAGGCGGCTTCGAAATTAGATACTCTCTTTAATCATGATTATCTACTTTTTTATCAGTCGACACAAAAAAATACCAAGAGTATATAATTAATTAAAAATAAATTCTAATATTTAAATATAAATATGAAAGAAGAAAAATAATAATAATAATAATATTTATAATGTTGTGCCAATTACCGATAAGATAGTAAATGGTTTATTGCTATATTTCAGTAGGTGTTATTGATTATTGATTGTTATCTTAATACCATAAATTAAAATTTCAACTGTTCTTCTTAATCTTTATCGATAAGCTATTTCAAAAATAAAAAATTCCTTAAGTTAATATATTAAGTTTTTTACATTAACTATTTGTAGTCCGGCTTTTACAACTTATATGCTAAATATTAGTTTAAATCTTGAAATCCAATATATATTTAAAAATATGATTTTTCACATTATGTGTATGATTTTTAAGCCAAATGAATTCCATTTAGAATTGTGTACTTTTCAATACATTGATTAAATACATATTTTATTGAATTTTAAATATAATTATGAACGGATCTGCTGCACTGTCTCACCTGGACTGTAGAGTGATGCTAGCTCCTGTGCACCTTTATTTTGTGGTCCCCATCGTGGGGAAATCGCTGCCGCAATATTTGTTGGATCCGCCGTTGCCGCTTCACTCGCCGCCAACTGCCCTTGCTCCTGATCAATTGACGTGGGTGCTGAATTGCCATTGGGATCGTCTTCATACATGGAATTGGCCAGTATTTCCTTATCGCTTTTGGCCATCATTATCTATTTGGCAAACAAAATAGTGAAGCATGCAATAAGAGTTAGACCTCAATTTACAACTGAAGCGCCACAAAAACTGGCCATGAATGATAGCTTGGCAACTTTCAATGTCGGCTGTCGTTTTGAGAAACCCGGGAAAACTGGCAGCTGTTGCTCTCTTTTGCATTATTTAATGACTTCTTGGGAAGGAGCACAGTCCCATTGAGTGGGCGTGAAATATTTAAAGGTTTTTCAATTTCAACCGCTGTTGAATTTCTAAAAGTCCAGTTGAAGAGCTCAGCAACAACCGTTAACGTTGAGCTAACTCTCCACATGTTGATGTCATTACGTGGCCTGCATTTTCAGCCCACACCCCGTGCTCCCGAGCTCTTGGTCTGATCCTGGTTCGACTGTGCGGACTGCGTGTGTGTCACGCAATATTTTGGGACTTATTCTTAGTCTCGTGGGGGCAGGGAGCAATTTTGACTCCTCGAATGAGTGAGCTGTCACTTTTGGGACGGGGGGAGGAGCGGTTAAAAGAGACTTAATTAAGCAAATTGGTATTTAAATTATTGCGAACGCGATCTCCAAGTTAAGTAACTTAAGTTAAGTTAAGTTAATAAGGTGGGCTAAAGGCACAGATATATATTTGTCAATGGAATTCTTATACCCTTCACCTATTAAAAATGGGTAAAAGCGACTTTGACATTGCAATCGACTTATTTTTTGTAGACCACACATTAAATTTATTTTATCGTCAATATCGATATAAATCGATTATTGACTTGCGATTATTTTCGGCGTTTTCAACTCATTTTCAAATATGTAAATTAATAAAATTGCAACGTTTGCTCAATTTTATGATACCTCTTCCAATCCCCCAAAATATTTGTAAAGAAGCATTCTTGAAATTTATTGTTACCTCACAAATCAATGTTATTTTTATGCTCAAATTTGTTGACAATTGAACCTATTTCGTAAAAGTGACAGCAAAACTGTTGAATGATTTATTTTTTGTTTAATATCTGCTTTGATTTAAAATCATTTTCCAATATTAGGATGATAATTAATTAAAGAGTCCAAGCCAAATGTAATTTGAGGCCAAGCAATCACAAGCAAGTTTCAAGTTCGATTAGCTTGTTGTGCTTCAGATAAGCTCTTATTATTATATATCACATTTGTAGTTATTTTGGATAAACTTGACAACACCGAGCTGTCTATTGATTGCAATCAAGCTTTATTACTTTACTTTATTGAGATTCACACATCATAACACAATTTTATTTAATTTTATATTTTGACTCTGCTTGAATCGAAGAAATATACTTCTTCACATTATATTTACATAATCTGATAGTAGCACGTCGTTAATTATATGGTACCCAATAAAGGGTTGAAATATATTCTTTTATCATGTCATGCAGAGTTGAATAGTGGAAGAGGAATAGGAAATAATTAATTCGAGTCGTGCAACTCTTTGGACAAGTCCATAAGCACGATTGTAATCAAAGATGAGGCTTTTGACAGACGGCCATGTCAGGAAGATAATGAAGACTAGTTCATGGATATAGGGTTAATAATAGTTCGAGTATTTCATAAAAAATAGAAGTAATAGGGCATGAAGACGATTAAATACCCTTGCAGACCGGAGTCAATTTGGCGACATTTCAATTTCACTTTATTTGTATTAAAAAAACGAGCAGAAAGTTTAAACATCACAAAAAATAACTATAGCTAATGAAATTATGAATAGAAAATTAAAGAAAAGCATTAAGTGCATACTTTACGGGATTGAAGTTGTTTACCTCAATGTGTCACACACTTTACGACAATTCTCTAATACTCTCTGCAAGGACATAAAAAACCAATTAATTGTAGGATTTTAACACAAGTTGGCTATTATTTATGCATTAGTTGAAGTCTCCCACAGAGCTGCGCTAATATTATATTCATATGTATGTATGTATAATTATGTATATATAACGTTAGGCAGGACAAATAAGGCGTTATATGGCAGTTTGAGGAATGCACATAATGTCGTTTATTGACAAAACAATTAATGCATAACTAGATGTGAATAAATAATATATGTAAGTAGTGATTGCGTTGAATAAATTACACGTATGGAACTCTCTCCTGTCATTTTCAGAAATGGAAATCGGGTTAGTGGAATTGAATTTAAAAAAATGAAAAAGTAACGATGTCTATTGATAAAGCACCTGGGCATACCCTTAATACTAATGCTTATCATGGCCAGAGGTGACCCACAACCCACGAGGTCAAGAAAACAAAACCCATAATCTGAAAGCTTGTAACGCCCCTCAAAAAGCAAACGAAATGTTTGCATGTAAAAAATAGTAAACAACAAAATAAAAGAAAAGCGATGATTCAAATTTCGAAAATACACATGAGAGGAGGGAAGAAAAGGAATAGCCCGAAATATGAGCTATAAATGAAAATTAATATGAAAACGTCGACAACTGAATTTGAGCGAAGGCAACAACTCCTGCGAATACCCTGTATTACTTGTATATTTAGCTCGCAACTAAGAAATTGTATACCGCAATTAAAACCAAGTAGAAACGACAAAACATAATTAAATAATGTAAATAATAATAATATTTACCATATTATTTATCGAAAATGCACCATAATTAAATTTATCGAAAGAATGAAGAAGCAACAACCGGTAGATGTCGCAATCGCATCACTTAAAAAAGCACAGCGCAGAGTAAGCAACAGAACGGGGTATTTGCACAGTTGGGCATCATTTGCCACATTTTATGGTTAAGGCAAGACGAAAAAAAGGAGCGCGAAGCCAACAGGTGCCAATTTAGCGCAAAAGAGCTGGGAAACATTTATATAATTCTATACTCCTATATTCCTGTGGGTGTGCTTGATATAGGCTAACGAAGAAAATATAATTTATTACACGAAATGCGCGAAAATTCGCACGAACAAGTTTGTCTTTCGTTTTGGGGGTGCAAAAAAAAACTCAGCCCTCAGCCATGCCCTGCCCTGCCCTGGCTGGGAACCGCAGTCAGTCAGCAGTTGTATTTATAGTTTTAGTGCTGTTAGCCATTTGCGATTGATAAGAAATGTGGATGGCGCTGCTTTTGCACATACTTTGCACTCGCCATACTATTTATAAAAATCCTAACAGAAATAACGCAGCAAAGCTCTCTCATACATTTAATCATTTGACTCACCTTTTTATGCGTGTGCCTGTTTTGTTGTTATTGTTGTCGGCAGGTGGCGGCAGCGGCAAGTAACGGCAAACAAGGTGCTTTGTTTGTGTTACTTTCTTGCCCCGTTTGTTGTATTTGTTGTTGCTAGTGGCAGCGGTACCTATAAAATAGCACAGATATTTCTAGGTTTCACTTACAGCTTGTGGCAAGTAAATTTTTACACTAATCGTCTAGTAGTATTGATTAAAATTAGAGTAGATACTACTACTATTGCTACTTTATGCATGCAGAAGCAAGTAAAACACGCACAGACACACACATAAACACACACAAGCAGACAAGGACGCACGCCATGAATTACAGGCAAGAAGTACTACGTACGTCAGCGACTCTCTGCCCACTACACTCCACAATATGGGTAAAAATTAAATAATGCTGACTTTTATGCACGTGATTTTATGTTGTCAGTGTCGTGAACAAGCGCAATGCGACCCGGAAAAGCGACAGCGACTTCTTCTGCAGCTGCATGGGCTACTTTGCACCCGTAAATTTCGAAAGCAACTAAACCAAACAGATTCAAACGATTTGCAGCTTTTCATTCATGCCTTGTGATTTGCAGTTGTGTGCGTGCTTTTGAACAGCTTTTACCGTTACGCTGTGATTGGTGCGCAAATACTCACGATTGAATACGAATTTTGTCGTCCGCCACACACAGTTGATGTGTGACTCTTTTTCTACATAAACAAAAAATATAAATATTCAATGTACACTTAACATTTTGACAGTAAATGCACATTAAAAGCTACAATTTATTAAATAAAATAAGTGCAAAATTACGTATCGATATCGATAACAGTGGCGATGGCATATCAACGAGCTTTGTGACATTGTGTGTGTTTGCACAGTGTGACCCTGTGCTTGTGCTAAGAGACATGAACGGCTGATTGTTACGTCGCCGCAAGCATTTTTAGCTGACAAAATAAACTGAAATTAATAAATTAAAATGTTACCTTTAGCACGCGCATTTTATTCGAGCGTGGCACGCATTTCGCGCAACAATCGTGTTGCGCTGCACACGGCCAGCACGCTTCGGTGCAAAGAGGCAACGGTCGTAGACAATGAAGCACCGGCAGAGAACAGCGAAGAAAGCGGCTCAGATGCTTCTCCACCAGATGGAAAGGATCGCACGAAAGTGATTCCCGTGGAGACTTCCATGCGCTATCTCAAGAGTGCCGCGTACCGAACAACCTATGGCGAGGAGTTCGTGTGGACACAATATCGGTAAGCAGCTGGCAATTAGTTATCAATAGTTCGTCCTAATAGAGATTCTTGTACCCCAGTCGAAACCACAAGGGAATGTATGCGCCGCGCAAGACGCGTAAAACGTGCGTTCGCCAGGGCAAAATCTCCACAGGGAATCCGTGTCCTATTTGTCGGGATGAGTATCTGGTGCTGGATTACCGCAACACAGATCTGCTGAAACAGTTCATCTCGCCATATAGCGGTCAGGTGCTGAGCTACTCCAAAACCGGGTTATGCCAAAAAAGTCATTTACGTTTAAAGGTTGCCGTGGAGCAGGCTCGTGATTGCGGCCTCCTCACCTACGATGTGCCTTTTCGGGAATACGACTACAGCGAGTACTATGGTAAGCAGGAGGAGCCAATACAATTAAAATCATAACGCAAAAATATATGTATGTAAATAACTAAATAAACTGGTTAAAAAGTGAACGGAAATGTTGTTTCCTTAAAGTTACGTAGCGCTCAGCCTTTTCAGCAATTATTCCTATTGGGATTAAAAGACCCAATTTGGACAGCATTTCATTGTTAACTTCCCAATTGCCCCGTATAATCGATAAATTTCGATATTCGAATCGATAAATGTGATTACTCATATGGAAAATGGATTGAAGTATTTGTTGTTGTTTTAAATGCAGGCGATGACACGGGATTGCACGTTTCTAGTTGTGGGTGGTGGCATTGCCGGCGTTTCTTGCGCCGAGACATTAGCGATTTGTTGCCCCACCGAATCTGTCCTGCTGCTCACCGAGTCCAGCATTGTGAAGAGCGTCACAAATTTGGTGCCCGTCGCACGTTATCTGCACAAGTTCGATGTTCGGGAAAAGAATGTGACTGAGTTGCGTGCCGGCATCGCACATATTGTGGATCAATTGGAGCATATTGCCAGCAAGGAACATTGGGCGCGCACCAAGTCTGGATTGGTAGTCAAATATCGCTATTTGTGCCTCTGCACAGGCGGAGCACCCAAATTGTTTGGCCCTGGTCAAGAGGAGCGCATTATTGGCATACGTGACACGGATTCGGTGCTGGAACTGCAGCGACGGCTTGCGAGCGCAAAAGATGTGGTTATTCTGGGCAATGGTGGCATTGCCAGCGAACTGGCTCATGAGCTACAGTCCGTCAATGTGCACTGGGTGATAAGAGATGATCACATCTCGGCCACCTTTGTGGATGTGGGCGCCGCAGAGTTCTTTCAACTGGCCAACAAGGAGACGGGGCTGTTGGACACGACGACGGCCAGCACAGCCATCAAAAGAATGCGCTATGATGAAATGCTGCCCAGAGCGCAGGAGCAACAACAAATCAAGCGAGGTGCCGCCTTGGGACCGGATTGGCATCGAAGCTACGACTTGAGCGGTGCCGGCAGCTCTGTCAGAAGTCTACCCAAAATTTACAGCAAAACTCACATTGAGAAACTAGAGGAGTTGCCAGATGCCTTGAGGATTACGCTGAAACACGATGATGATGACAGTATTGAGCAGCTGAGCTGTGATTTTATGGTGTCGGCGACGGGCGTGCAACCGCGACATGACTACACCAGCGATGTGCCGCTCCAGCTGGCTGAGGATGGCGGTCTGCTGGTGGATGAAATGATGCTCACGAATCTGAGCGATGTTTATGCGGCAGGAGATGTTTGCACAGCTGCGTGGTCAGCCGCATCGAAGCACTGGTTCCAAATGCGTCTGTGGACGCAGGCCAGGCAAATGGGCGCCATGGCCGGACGCAGCATGGCAGCCGCTCTAGAGAACGAGACAATCTATCAGGACTTTTGCTTTGAGCTCTTTGGCCATGTGACGCAGCTGTTTGGCTTTCCCGTGGTTCTGCTGGGCCGTTACAATGGCCAGGGCTTGGGCAGAGACTATGAGCTGCTCGTGCGTTGCACGCGCAACAAGGAGTACATCAAGTTCGTGCTGCAAAATGGACGACTCCGCGGTGCGATCCTAATTGGAGACACAGATCTGGCGGAGACGTGCGAGAACCTGATACTTAATGGCACAGATCTAGAACCCTATGGCGATGATATACTCAATCCAGACATAGACATCGAAGACTATTTCGATTGACATAACATAAAATACATATGTATATATAATATATAACTGTTCCAATTCGATTTAAAAGATTTAAATTTACGAGCACAGATTTTTATACACAATAAATTTTAAAATGTTCTTTGTTGAATTCTGTATTTTAGAATTATTGTTTTATAAATGTCTCACAAAGTTTTTGCTGATACATATTGTTAAAGAATAATTTAGAATTTATTTTCAAGCAAAGTATTTTACATTAAAGCTGTCAAATGAATTTCAATGTTATATTCTAAAGAACTAACAGCTGAAGAGTCAAATCTGCGATAGTTTAAAGGTTGTTTTCAGGAATACAAAAGACTTCTATATTAAAATTTCTAAAATTACATTCTAAACTCTGAAGAACAGTCAACTCAGGACTAAAATCTGCGATAATTTAATAGTTAATTTCAAGAAAATAATCTTACACTAAAGCTCTATACAATTTCTAAATAAGATTTCGGCTGCTCCACAATTGTTATTATTATTCCTAAATGTAAATTCTAGTTTGTGCTATGGTTTTTGGTCTTTCGTCACTTGAGTTTCCCCTCGTTGCCTGAAAAACACACAAGAAAGAAATTTAGTTTTTGCTGCATTTGAGTTCAATGCGAGTTGTACTTACCAACATATTTAATTTCGTCGAAGGCCTTGCGAGCCTTCTTCAGCTCCTCGTTCATGGTCAGTAGATCCTTGACCCTGGCATATTTGCGCTGATCCTTGCGCACCAAAAATATTATGTCCTCCACTTGGACGCGCCCTGTGCGTCCGATTTCCATGGCTCGGTGCGTGGTCTCTGCAATGTACTCAATGACCAGATCTTCCAGGAGATCAACTGTTTCCGTATACGGATTCTTGTCGTCACCAAAGCCAAACATCATGCAGCGCAGCTCCTTGCTGAAGAGACGCTTGCGTCCCGAATTGGTGGACACCATTTGCTCATCATCAGCATCCTCATCGAACTAAAATGGAATAGTAGCTAGTTATCGACATAAATATTGTATATTAGCAAGTTGTAATTACATCGGCAACTTCAAAGTGTTCATCGGGCAAAGTATTTGCAGCCATTGTGTTTTTATTACTTATTAACTTGATGAAAACAATAATTGCAGACGGCAACCGCAAGTATCGATACTAAAGTATTATAATACTCGATACACAATCAGCAGCTGGATACTTTCACTAAACCAGGGCTGAATTGTACTATTAATATTAACTTTAATTAATGTACTTTTAAACATTTTCCAGCAGAGAATAAAATGAATTAGTTAAAGAGTATGTAACTCGTTCAAAATACGGGCATATCAAAACCGATAAAAAAGAAGTCATTGTGAATGGATGTTATCGATTGATTGAGCGGCAGCAGCTCTGTGTTTTGCAGAAGTAGGCGCAGCTTCTTTGCACGCACTTTCAAATTTAAACGCCTGTTGCTTGAAGCTTCCAAAATGGATGTTTACACATTCGAAAAATCATTTCTGGAGCGGCTCAAAGAAGCCGAAGCGGTGCTCTCATGGGATGGCGCCGCAATGCCCGCCTCGCAAGTCTGTTCCGAGTGGAAAGCGTACGTCGAGCTGCAAATTGAGCCAGCAGGTAAGCGAATTTCACACACACACATACAGAAATCACACACACACGCAAATACAAATATAATTTTTTGGCAGGCTGGCAGGCAATGTGGAAAATACCGCGCGTAATCTGCGAGGATTTAAAGCTGCGCTATCCCACAATTGTATTTGGCACTGTGGATCAGGTCATGTTCGATGAGCTGAAGGCGGTGTTTACGGTGACTGCTGTGCAGGATCAGGATATGCATTTGCCCGAGAGCAACGAGGTGGCGCTGATCGAGCTGTGGCCCACCATACAACAGGAGAATTCGGCGCTAAATGTAGACACCACAGCGGAGTGCATTGACCGCTTGCGTTTCTTCTATACGCACGTTTGGATGCCATGGGACAAGGACTCGGATGGTGATCGCGATTGGGTGCAAATCCATTTACAGTCGCGCATACAGCTCGCCTGTGAACTGAGCAAGCATCGCTTGCCACGCCCACTGACCCTGCACATGCGCACGCTGCTGATGGAGGCCCATTATATACAACAGCGTCTCGAATACTTGGAACTGGACATGAGCGATGCGGAGGAGGATGATGATGAGGAATTGGCTACAGATGCGACAAGTGAGAAGCCCAAAAAGCAGTTGGGCAGCTCCGCGGCAAACAACCTGAATAAGTCCATTTTGCCGGTGACGGATCTGATGTGTCTCCATCTCAGGCTGGCCATCATCCGCAGCGAATTCGAAATTCTGGAAAATCCAGATATGCGACGCGCCTACAGCGAACTCCAGAGCAATGGGCTGAAGCGTCACCTGCTGCAGCGCAGCAGCCCATGCAGCCTGGGCCAGTTAGCTGTGGAGCAGACACAAATGTGCCACTTGGTTACGTTGCCAGTTGAGCTGCAGACACAGATCCATCTGCTGACGCTAGCCAAGCAATTGGTGAAACCGCACACAAAAGTCCAGTTGGGCAACACCTTGCAGGTAATGTGGATAATACAGATAGATCATCAATTACTTATTTAATTACAAATTGAAAAATTTACATTTGATCTTATCATACATGTCGAGTTCGAAATATATTTTTGTTGGATATCAATTATAATTATTATTAATACGTATAACAATCATAATAATAATATTTATAATAATCATAATTAATAATAAAATAGAATAAATACTATATATACAAATCATAATTAATATAATCATAATAATAATTATAATGATCTGTCAGGACGTGCTGAGCATTTGCCAAGCAAACGATGACATTCTCTTATCGCCCGGGCAACACAATATTAAATTTCTGGAACATCTCAATGACAATGGCAGCATTCAGGGCCTCATTGATGCCGAGTCAGTTATGGCCAGTGAAAACGACAATGATGACGAGCTGAGAAAGCTGCCCGTGATTTGCTCGAGTGATGAGGATAGCACTTTGCTGGTCATCGATGGCGATTACGCGTTATCCAATCTGGTCCTGGATTGTCGTCATGTGCGCCGTGGCATTCTATTGCGGTGTGGAACGCTGACACTGCGCAGCTGCCGGCTGCTGGGCGATGGTAGCTCGAGCACCCAGGAAGCGATTGTGTGCATGCCGCAAGCCAAGCTAAAGCTCCACGATTGCCGGCTCGAGAACTTTGCCATTGGTTTATCGTTGCGGCCGGAGACGAGTGCTGTTTTGAGTAATGTCAACATCAGGAAGTGCAACACCGGTTTGGAATTGCTGGATAAAACCACCAAGCTTAAACTGGAAGGAAACAATTGCAATTTTCAAACTTGCCAACTGGGCATTTTGGCAGATGGCATCGCCTTGCCAAATAGCAGTGAAAAGACATTGGCGCTAAAGCATTTTAGTGAGCTACAGCGGTGCGTTTACTTTGATTAATCATTTAAAATGCCATTAAAACTAATCCTCTGTATTTGCAGCTATAATGAGAGCAATTGGCTGGGAAATTGCGCTTTTCACAAGTGTCAACGTAATGTTCGCATTTTCAATGAATCGCAGCAGCTGCTGGCGAAGCGCGCTCGTCAGAATTTCCTGATGGAGGATTTGGATGTGGAGAACAAGGAGAACATTAACTAGAATAAGTATATGTATGCAATGTAAATCGTACAATAAAAAGAACCTGGATTGTTCCTGATACAATATATCAGGACGTCTGAGCATGTAACGCAGTTTTTAGTCGATTTGATGCTTATTATATTGTATGCTTAGCTACCGCAAAGAAAGTCGAAGAAGCCTTGAATGAATGAATCCTTGTATTATTCGCCTTGTTAAATATGCATCACTGACATTAAATCTGCTACTGTCACGTCCCATATCAACACATTTAGTTATATTATTAACTAAGTGAATTTCCTTCCCTACAGCGAAGGCCAAGCCAGAGTTAATTCAATGCAAAGTCAATGTTTATTTATTTACTTTTCGACTTCTGCTCTTAATTGTATCCAAAATTGCGCCTGATGCTCAAATTGAACTGCCTACACAAATATCGATTAGCTGCTTTCGAGCACACGCAAACCTATCGATATACATAGGTAAATACATCAAACCGTTCACACAAACGATTACAGCTGTTAGTGGCCAATACAAATAGCTGGTAGTTTAATTGATTTCAAAACGTTGAGATAAAAGCAACATAAATATACCTGTCCACTGCCAGCATGTCCATGGAGAACTGGATGCGCGAGCTGCCGGCCGAGCTGCGCGATCTGTCAATTGTAAATTTAGCCATTCCAGGTATATATATATGAGGTCATCCAGCACAAGCAGCGACGCATTAATTTGACTTAATTAACTTGGAATGCGATTCTATCAAAAGGTTCCCACAATTCAATGACTTATGGAATTGACAGCAACTCGCGGCTAGCACCCGATGCGGATAGCGCCATACGTCGTTGGCATCGCTTCTTTCCCTGCTTTGTGCGTCGCTGGTCCCGCAATCAGTCGGCTAGCATTTTGGACCAGCTGCAGTTGGGCGTGCGTTATTTTGATTTGCGTATTGCACAAAATGAGGGCAAATTCTACTATTGCCATGGACTCTTTGCCATGGAGGTGTTTGAGCCGTTGCACGAGCTGCGCCACTTTCTCGACACCCATCCCGAGGAGGTGGTCATACTGGATTTGCAGCATTTCTACGACATGAACATTAAGCAGCACCAGCAGCTGCAGAAGCAGCTGTTAGAGTTCTTCGATCATCGCTTGTATGCGACAACAGATGGTTCGCTGCTCGAGTGCACCCTTAATCGGTGTGCTCAACTCAAGTGGCAAGTGGTGCTCATATGCAGACGCTGCCCGATTGGCTTGCCCCCCTCATTCTGGCCGAGTTATGCGTGGCCAACGCCTTGGCCGAACACGGCCAGCATTAAGAAACTGCAATCGTTCTTGTCAGCGTCGTTGTTATCACGTCAGCCCAAACAGGGTTATGTGTCCCAGTGCCTTCTCACGCCCACGGGGCGTTATATTGCCTTGCGTTTCTTCTTCACGCTGAAGCGCACAGCGAAGCGAGTGGATAAGAAACTAAAGCCCTGGATATTAGAGCAGTTTCCAGGACCCTTCGCTAGCGATGAAGCACCTCGTGTAAATGTCTTCTTGGCTGATTTTGTTCACTTGAAGGATGGTCAGTTCTGTGAATGGGTTATTAGCCTAAACAATAAAATGGATCCGTCACAGGTTGATCTAATTGCGGAGAAGACTCTCTAATCTCTAATATCTATTTGTATTTTATAATGCACATTACGAAAACAAAAAAGTTTTTGTATTTTTGTACGAATATTTTTATTAATTTTATATGGTGATATTTTTTTAAGTATACATTTTATTATGAATGTATGTTATGTTGCTCTTATAAGTCTATTATTATTATATGATTTATTATTTGCTTTATTGAACGGAGTAAAAAAAATGCAAATTGAAATGGAAACTTAAATTATTTTTATATTTTTGTACGCTCTACAAAATATACGAAATAAATTGTTAGCTTAAATTATTTTTATAATTTTTGTATGCACTACAAAATATGTATTGTACTCAATTTAAAACTGCAATTATGCTAATAATTATGGTCGGCTGATTGTGGAGTCGGCAAATGTGAACGAAAATTGGAAAATGCAATTAGCACAAACAACCAAAAGATAAGAAAAATGCAATCGAATGCGGGCCTCTGTTCACTAATTTGTATATAGATGTTTATTTTTCACATAAATGAAAATGGAACACATCGATTTTTGTAGCAATCATAATTATCAACAAATTTAAAAAATAACGCCTTTTTGAATTTTCCTTAAAAAAATAAACTAAGGATTTTAAATTTTAATAACAATCCTAAATTAAAACCTAAGTCAACAAATCCCACCTGCCGAAGCCTTCAACTCATAAGAAATAATTATTGTAATATTGCTATTATATTTGAACTACTACCTTTTTATATATTTACTTTTTATTTATTTATTTATTATATTAATGATCATTTTATAATTTTCACATGTGTAAGCTATGCAATGATGATTTTGAAGAGCTCTACTTAATCTATAACTTAAATTTAATGATTACTTATTCATTATTTATGTAAATTTTCATAATTATCTTAAATGTTCTGTTTCACAATTATCCTAAATTATATTCAAATTATGTAAGCAACATAAATCAAAAAGTCGCAGGTTAAATATCCTTCCAACTTTCCTGGTCTACCTTTGAAAGTTATATGATAAAATGCATATTCAGTGACTTTGGTCTGTATATTTTAGTAAACAAATAAGTTACACATACGAGAAAGGTTGGGAGAGGCCTGCCCGTTAAAAAGGTTATCATTAATCAACCTTTTTAAATATAAATTGTAAAAATAGGTTATCGCTTCGATTTGTGATGGTGCAACGGGCCAGCTGAGCTCGGATTTCCCGGAAGTCTTCAAGGCGATATTGCAAAGCGGTCACCTCCACAGACAACAATGACGGTCAGAGAGAGAGAGAGAGAGACAGAGCGCTGTTAACACTTGCGACTGCAGTTTAAAGGCAGTTAACATAGTGTGCAAATGTAATTACAATTCGATTAACTAGCATTATGCTATCTACTTGTCGCAGGGCGCGAAATTCAAATATACAGAAATTAAAAAAATGTTTGCAAAAATATTAAAAGATAACTTAAAAACTAAAGCCCGATTTCAAAAATATGTAAAACGTACATTCAGAAAATCTGTATCGTAGTCTTATTTATTATTTAGTTCGCATTTATTCAACTACTACAATTATGTAATTAATCCCCGATCTTTCTCAAATTGTGGATCTCACAGAAAAATGGAAGGAAATATTATCAGTAATAAAACAAATGAATAAGCCCGCCTGCCCACTTGTCCATAGTTAATGCGATAATGCAAAGTAATAAACAAATATAGTATATGTGTATATACATGTATATTTTAAAATATACAAATATATTTGAACAGATTAAAAACAAATATAAGAAACTTTATTGAACGTCATACATGAATACACCATATATATATAAATATATATATTTATATAAATAGCACACTTGTCCGGGAGACCGTCAATCGATAAGAAAACGCACCGCTTTTTGTGCTTTATTTGGCGAGGTGATCGAAGAAGACGCCGCCTCCGCCGACTGCAGCATGCATGTGTGCATGCCGTGGAGTACGTTGTCGAGGCGTGCCAATGACTCCTGCAGACTCTCCGGCAGCAGACCAGCATCCGGTTGATTCTCCCGCTGGCGCAGCGCCTGCTCGCAATGACGGCGCAAACGGTGCGCAGCCCGCTGCATCACCTGCAGCTCCTGTTGGGCATGGAGTTCAAAATTGCCGCTACTGCTGTAGCTGCTCGGGTGATCCTCGGTCAAGTCATAAGTGAGCAGTCGCTTTGTATATTGAGGCGTGGCGTTGCCCGGCGTCGAGCTCAACCGGGGCGTATTGGTGCCACTAAGGAGACGCTTGAGTGGCTGCTTCAGCGAGCTAAGATTCAGGCCAATGCGACTGGAATTATGCGTATCATTTAGTGTATCGTTTAGATCCGCATCGAGTGGCTGCCAGTCGACCTCAACGCTCTGGAACATGTCACTCGGCGCTGCTGCATCCCGCTGCAGATCCAGCCAGACGCCCAGTCTGGCAATGGGCCACTCAGCTTTGAGGCACCGCTGCCGATCCACAATTAAAATGACGGTGCGCAGTAAGCCAAACTCATCCGGTGTTTGGAGCTGACGAAACTCCAGTTGATGGCCCAGCTGGCGACAGCGTTGCGTCGCCTCCTTCACCATGAGCTGAGTCTTGTGCAGACTCGCCTCGCTGGGATTCAGCATGATGCGCTGTATATCCTCCACCAGGGTGGATTTCTGTGCCGGCGTCGTTGCGCTGTGGCAGCGGCTGCTGCTGCTCGCCTCCTGCTGCTGCAGCTCGGCCAGTGCCTGTCGTTCCGTCTCGAGCATTTCGCTGTTGCACTTGTACTTGAACTGCTCCAGTTCGAGGCACTGCAGCCGTTCCTCAAAGTCACGGGCATGCTGCTCACGCTCCAGTTCGATGCGTGTCAGCGCCGCCCGCTTCTCCGCCTCGAGTTCGTTGCGCAGCTGCTGCTCCTGCTTCTGCATAATCTCCTGATGCGCCAGCTGGAAGTCGACGAGTTGCTGTTGCGCTGTGCCAGCGCGCTGGGTGCAAAACGGATTCGAGATGCGGAAATAGTGGGAGCCACCAATGACCAACCGGTCGCCATGGAACAGTTGCCGGCGTTGGCGCTGCAGCAGCTCGCCATTCACATACGTCTCAAAGTCCTCGCTGCCCGGGCTCACATACAATCTGCCCGAGCGCTCGTGCTCAATGCTGCAGTGCTGCAGCGCCACCAGCGGACCATCCAACACAATATCTGGCATGGCGGCATCTCCGGGCATGCGTCCGCCGCGTCCAATGTGCACCGTGCCCACGGGCAGCACGTAAAAGAGCGTGCCACTTAGCATGGGATCGGCGGTCAGGTTGACCAGACACGCCTGCTTCTGGTCGGCAGTCAGTTCCATGGCGAGTCCCTTGCGCTTGAGCAGACGCAACTCGGATTTGCGTTGATCTTCGGCCTCCTTGAGCTTCTCCATCCATGATTTCTGTGCGCGATTCAGTTCACGTTCGCGTTCCGAGAGCTGTTGACGCAGTGCCTCCACTTCACCATCATCCACAGATGTCTCAATGATGATTTTGCGTGGCGCCGGCGGATTGTTGCTGTTCGAGGAGAGGCGACGTTGTCGCTCGTACTCATTGCGTAGCGATTTCAAGCGATCCACCTCGGCGCGCAGGTCCCTAATGATCTTGTCATGCGGCGACTCATTTACCTTCACCCGATTCACAATGGAGCGCGCCTTGCACGCGTATCGCAGGGTTGCCAACGTCTCGTCCGCATGCAGACTGGCCGGAGAAACGGTGGCCAGCATTACCGTCTTCGAATTGCCGCCAAGGTTTTCCTGCAAAACAACAGAAATGGGATAATAATTAATAATATCGAATTCATTATTTTCATTATTGCATGAATGGAAGAAGAACATGCTACAATCAAGACAAAAAGCAATGCTTGAGATTCCCAGTGAATTATAATTGTTTAGATTCATATAAATCATAAGGCAGTTGTAGACTGCAAATAGCACAGATACACAGCAAATAAAATACACCCAATCCATGGGTTGCGATTAGAAATATGTTCACACCAGATAATTTCAAGACATGGTATCTGTACACGCATAGATAACTATTGATTGTTGAGGTCAACCCGCAAAAGACATAACTAATCCTAAGCAAAAAAGTCTGTAGTCAAGTCAGTTTATGTGCTGACTGCTTCCCTTAAAATATACACAAGCAATAATCTTAACATATACTGAGTACCTTAATAGATTAGAATTAAATTAAATGTAATAAATCATTAAATCAACATTTTCAATTTGTTCTAAAACTATGGGAGTTATAGGTTGTTGCTTTGTGGACATCGTCAAGAAATAAATGGTGTATAAAAACTATTCTCTTGTTGTAAATATTTCTTCTTTTTTTTTATTTAAATTGATATGATAAACTTGATTTTCAAATTCATTTTAATTAGTTTTTACTAGTCTAAATTGCATGGATCATCTATTTATTAGATCTAATCAGTATCCTTATCCTGGATCCGGATTCAAAATTCGAAGTCACAATTTAAAAAGATAAGCGCAAATAATATTTGGAAATTCAAGATAGTATAAACTAGTAATCGAACGTTCAAATCTCCCTTAACATGTGTTTATTCGTTTTATTGACGTAAATTTGAAATAAGATTAAAAAAGAATTCAATTTAGTATTAATCTAGAGGCGAATCCACATTTGACATTGCTTAAAATGAAGGATGTTTAACTCATGATATTATTTTTATATAAATAAAATACTTTATTTAGAACACTCATATCTCTGTTAGTACACATGTAATACTTCTTGTATAACTGACTCTAGCTCAAAAACGTAAGAAGATTTAGAATAGAGTTGCCCGTATCGATCTTTGAGAGACCTCACTAGCGATCATCGACCCCTACCCATCTCCACTAGAAGATTATGAGTCAGCTGGTATTCAAGTAGTGTGAGAGTATTTCTCATTTCGACGTGTTGGCACAAAGAAATACATATAAAAGATATAAGTGATTTTCATACAACAAGTCAACGATTCCATTGGCATAAATGAAACACGTGAATGTGAATATTAAACATTTGTGTGTGTGTAATACATAAGGAATACATATAAGGTATGTATATCTCGACACACGCTCCGCTAATAATTTGAATTGTGTGTAAATATGTTTGTATGCTTTTCACATGCCTGAGTTAAGACCAAACAAAGAATTGTGACCTCCAAAGATAGGGGCTGATGTCTTATCAGTGTCGGCAGGGTAGTCGCTTTTGACAAACTTTCAAACAAGACAAAGACGGCGACCGTTAGCCGTTATCAGCGGTGATTGCAATCAAGAGCGAGATGGCAAGCTAGTTTGTTGTACCAACACAACAAAAATACATATTTACTTACATATGTACACATATTTCGTTGGTGTATGTGTGTGAGTGTACTTGTGTATGTATGCATATACACATACTGGACACTTGTTTGATTAACGCTTTGCTGCACGTTAGCATCACTATAACAGAACGAGTGGGAAGCTCAAAGACAGAGATAGAAAGAGAAAGCAAACAAGCACGGCACTAGTCACGAGAGTTAGTGTTTGCATAAACTGCGCAGCAGCGGCGTGGGCGTAGGCACATGTGAATGAGCAACCAAAAGAGAGCTGCAAAAACGATTCTGACGGCGTGTCCATGTGTGAATGTTTGAATGTGTGGCCAATGTACAGAGTACACTGACCTGTAATGGCTCAAAAATAGCGTAAATTTATTCACAATGCCGGGACAAGATTTTTGCAGATATTATTTTCGCATTTTTCAATGCTAACACCGTTTTTTTTATTATTATTAATTATTAATTATATTATATATATTAATTAATAATTATAAACGCTTAATTAAAAGTTTCCTAGCTCTTCTCAAATTAAGTCTAATATATTTGATTATCTTTCCGCATTTAGTATTTATATAATCTATAAATTGTACATTTTTCACAACAGAAAAAAGCTCTAATTTTATATCAATCGGAGGACAACAAGGTCCAGTCTTCGCCTCGATTACCCCCAAAGAGGACTGACCTCAAGGGGCCGGTCTGAACATGTTATAGATTCGATCAAGTGATCAACTGTTTGTATTGAAGTTGGTTGGTGCCAGTTCAACCGCTGTCACTGGAAATATTAATAAACAATTAATGTGTCATGGAAGTGTGGTTAATTAGTCTCTTCGTACCGCAGAATATGCAACTTTCAGCTATATTTGTGTCTAGAAACCTGTTTCTGATGAAACTGTGGGCTATATATAGATTTGCTGGATGCCCACCCACTTATAGAAGATTGTCACGATATCGCACAAATGTCACAGCATCGTGTACGATAAATACTTAAACCACAAAAAGTCGCTAAAAGGCGGTAAGCACAGTGAAAAACAGCAAACAACTTCATTAATCCAAATGACGTAGGTAGATCAATTAACACTTTGTGTACGCAAATTATGCCGATATTTAACATTTAGCTAAGTTGAAGTAAAAAAAAAACAAACAAAACTAACATTTTTGCTCGTACAAATTGTATTTTCAAGTGAATTTAAAATATTGTTCAAGGTTTTGTAGAAATTAAGCATGTACGCTTACTACGCCTAATCCAGAGTCATCAAGCTATTTTTGACCTAATTCAATCATCCACTTTATACAATCTGTGTTGCTTAATTGACAAACCATGGACAAAAAATTTCTCTCTTGACAACAAAATTTCATGGTATATCAACCTTCCGATATACGGATTATAGTGGGCCCACCGTCTAGACGTCGATTATCACATCAATGGTAATACTGCCTCGAGCCATACGCAATGAGTAACTCCAAAATTTTTAATATTGCATCTTGTTAGGTATATAGTATATGACATCGACTTTTGCTGATGGGCTCAATTTGTATTTCAGCCATTTAATTTAGCAACTCGATGTTAATAAGAAAAACTTCCGAAGTTAGTCCGATGGAAAAATATTTTCCATTCCTCAAACAAATTAACATATATTTAATTGCTTCAACTTAAATTTCGATTATTCATTTCGCAAACAAACTAATAATTTCATAAAACAACGCGAATTTTCCACATTTCAAAATATGTGGAATTTTTCTGCAATAACAACATGTTGCCCACTGTGCGTATTAACTGCATAGGCTTGAGAGAAATAGCAATACGCCATGCATACTATCGTAATGAAAAACAAGTTCTTATAGACCAAGCGATTCCTCTTAACAAAATCCCCAAAATTGTGCAAAAAGCGCAACTATTTACTATATGGATCCAACAAATAATTAGAGTAAGCTTTTTAATAAGAGGCTTATGCTTTGACAACTTGCTCCTTTACCGATATCAATAAAAAGCTCTCAAATTTGCTATAAGTTTACCTTGGCATTACATTGATAAACTGTAAAAAGAACACAGCAGTGTAGATGTGCACACACATACAAACATACAAGCACACGTGTGCAGTGTCCAGATTTCAACATCTGAAACGAGTACGACTTAAAATAGCCAAATATTTGCGACCATTGTATTCGCTTCTTACTTGATGTTTTGTTTGTATTATTATTTATTCATTTAATTAAGTTAGAAGGGATTGTTAAACAAATTTTCATCGACGAAAGACGCAAGAAAAGCAAACAATGACCGCTTTTACCAATTCCTTATTCTGCATGTTACATGTTACACACACAAGAGGAAGAACAAATATACCCGTTTTTGCACACGGACGAAAAAGTCATAGAAGAAGAAAAGTAAGCAAACAAAGCGACGCAAAAGCAAAAACAATTCTACGCAAAGCGAAACGAGACACAACGACGACGACGACGACGAAAACAACACACGAAGCGAGGCGAACATACTACGCGAGGGCTACAAAAATGCAGTAATACGCCGTTCGGCTTTCAGTTTCAGTTTTGAACTGAATACGTAAAGAGCAGAAAAGAGTTATCCGTGTTTTTATACAACAAATAAACACTAACTAAATGCACTAAAATTCAAATGTATTTGTAAACTGGTTTTATATCTTGACTTAGTACTAAAAGTGTTTCTTTAAGAAATTAACAATTCGCGTTATTTGGATAGGCAATGTAAAGTTGCCAACGTGAACGACGAACAGACAAAGTTCATTGCACGTTACAAAAAAGAATGTACAGCTTTCAAACAACAGCAAAAACAAAGGCAAAGTGAAACGACCTCGCTCAACGTACGCGCGCAAAAAGCAACCAGAACTAAAGCAGGACAGCAATATTTTTAGTGCAACCTAGATCGAAAAACACCAACAACAACAATAACAACAATGGACGTTTGGGGCGTGTTTTCTGGCGATTCAACGCTTTCTTATGGCGGCTCCATGCGTAGCGGCTATTATCGTGACTATGAACAGTTTCCGTATGGCACGCTTGAGCATTCAAGCAGCGCCAGTCCGTATTCAACTAAGGATTCATACAGCAGAGTGCAAGGTAATTAAAAAAAAAAAAAATAATGCTGGTGAAAGGCAACTCACAATGCAAGCGTGCGTCAGGCAAATGCAGTCATTATTCATGGCAGTTAGCTTTTTGTCATGCATATGCAGATGTGTAAAGTATACGTGAACAAAACGCATACACACACAAGCACGCACACACACACACACACTCAGTTTATGTTCACTTGATTCTGATTACCCACATTGTGAGTTGTTTTTGCACTCATTTAAAAATAGCCGCGATGTTTTTTTGAATATTCGTTATATATGTGTGTGGAACACGCCTCAATTTGCGCAAATGTGCTTAAATACATATACATGTGTATGTGTGGGTGGATTGCGTGTGCACTGTAAAAAACAAGGCTATTGGCAATCATAGGGTGATCCATGTCACATACCTTTAATTTGCAAAATTCTTTTGAATTTTTTTGTGTTAAAAAAGATAGCAATATCATTTGAGGCTATTCTTAGCTTAATTTTATTAAAGTTTTTATCGCAATTTTAATCAACGTGAAGTATATTCCATGAATATACGCATATATATGTATGTTTGTGTTTAGATCTGTTAGTGGGATATGCAAACACTTTAATGATGACAATACCATCCGCTTATAACTCTAAGCAGGTGTTGTTTGTGCCCAAATAAAGAAAACCAGCACAAAAACTACGGCGCAATAACAACGTACATATATATATATATATATATATATACAAACACATAAATGGTCTTGCATGTGCCATTCAAGTCAACAACACATATACGTCTGTTTATTTGTTTACGGGACGGGAAAAATATCACCGTACTAACAATCTCTTTTTTTTTTGTTTTGGTTAAATAGCTCCCTTCTGAATAACTAAGAACAAAATAGAGCTATTCTTGATTTTCGAGCAGAGCTCAGATGACTAACTAACTAGCTCGGGATTTATAATAATTTAATAAACAAATTTGTTGGAAATAAACAAATTTTTTGGAAAACATGATCCACGATAGACTACTGATAAAAATCGGTCGTTTTCTTAAAATAAAATAATGAAACGTAGATTAGATGTGAGGTTGAAGATTGTTTTTTTTTTCTTTTGGTGCGGCAGCAATTGTATCTTGATTAGATTGTTAATAAACAAAAAAAATGAGCAAGGTTGCAAATCAATTGCTTAAATTGCACCTAGTTTTTTTTTCCCGGCAGCGATTTAATCAATAGAAATATGTAGAAATCGGTAGGATTTTATCAACAATGTACACCCTGTGTCAAAACATGTCTCGGGGTCAATCATAAAAAAAAGATTGCCGCCGCCACATAAAATTGTTGACGTGACGTGACGTAACGTAACGTAACATGAGCAGCTGGGAGCAGGGGTAGTGTGCGTCGCAAGCGGCACGTAGGCCAACGAGAGGAAGACTGAGAGAGGCCATATGTAGTATGTGTGTATGTAATATGTACAGTGTGTTAGTATGTCAAAAGTCACAATGCGTATGAGTAAACAAATTAACAGATTTTAATAGATATAGCTGCCAGATTTTATATTTCCTTCTGCAAACTAAAAAAGATGCAAATTAAATATAAATAAATAAAGAGTATTCTATTTTATTTATTTATTTACAGAAAAATGCAGGCAATTAAAATCAGAGAAGCAGCTGCGAAAAGATTGTCCCTTTTGCAAGGAGCACAAGAAGCGGCCATTGATTAATTACATGCGTAAACGTGAATCACGCAAGCATCACGAGAGCATCTGCGAGGACGACGAAGAGCTGCACGAACATGAGCACGAGCATGAGCACGAGCACGAAGTGCGAAAGATGACTAATGTTGTGGTGCCAACGCAGCAAAGCTGCAAGGTGTAAACAAATGCGCAGCGGCAGCAATCAGAAGAGGAGAGACAAACAGACAGACAGACAGGTGGCAAAATTATATAGTCAAAAACACAAAAGAGAAAATTAATTTTGAAACTACAACAACAGCAATTTACAATGCCATATAAAGTTAGATAAAGACAACACAAAGCTTTGCGCCTGCTGGTCAGACATTAAGAGCAAAAGCGAGACAACAAGTGCAACAACAAGAACAACAACAACAACAATAATGCAATGCAACTGTACCTACATAAAACAAGAAAGAACAATTGAGTGCATTTCCGGCAATGACGTAACAACAACACTACCATTTACTACCAAGGAGCAAAACAAAGACAGCAAAACATATTTATTTTGATTTTGCTGTTAGCTTAATACTTCTAACGTATTCAAGCCGTTCACTATTTCTTTATTTTTTCCCTTTACAATTACATGTCGCAGTTTTTATACAAGTATAAAAATACTGTAATTAATTGACATGGAGACAAACCGCAAGCAGCCGCCAACCCAAAAATATAACTTTTTAGGCAAACAGTAGCAAAGCCAGGCTAAAAGCATTACAAAAAAAAATATATATATATGAACAAAGGGAGCAACAAAATCGCCAGAAATACCAGAAAATAGTTTTCTATTTTGCATACCGAGACTGAGTAAAAATGGGAGTAAATGGCATTCACTAAGGATGCCATTGTCTTTTTTTATTAATTTTATTATATATATATATATATTTTTAAACATTGGTTTTCATTTTCCCTCTTATTGGGCAAGTTACAGGAAAATTATATTTAAAGTTAAAAAAAAACCGCTCCATTGGCGCCAAGAAAACAACAAAATATGTTGAATTTATTCCATACTTTTGTTTAGCTATATGAACATATAGTTTTGACCCCAATTTTGATCCTTGTCTATATTAGACACTTTAGTATTTATGAAGTCCAAAAAGCAACCATGTGCCACAAAAAAATATTGGCATATTTCGGGCCAAATACTGATTGGCAGTTGTGACAAGATATTTTAAAACCTAAAAATACTATAACACAAGTAAAAGTTGTAAACAGAATTAATACCCCCTGCGATTGTCGGTTGAATTGATTTTATTAAATACAATCCATGCAAGCAGTGGAATAAATATACATATTAAGCCCTCAACTAAACAATTAACTTTGATAAATTATGAAAATTATTCAAAACAAAAAATGAAACTAAAAATACACAAAATAAAATGTTAAATGTTAAGAAACTGAAATGTTTTTTGAACAGTTTGCTTGCGGGTATTGAAAAAATTTGCAATTTATAAATTATTATTATATACCATTGTATTTATGTTAACGTTTAATATATTTGAAGAAAAACAATGTTAAGCATGCAAAATAATCAATAAAAAATATGTTATTGGTATTTATACAAAAAAAAAAAAGTCTAAAGAATTTTTATTTAATGGGGTGAAGGGAATTTTAATTCGATGTGAAATATTTAAATTAATACAATTTAAGGCCGATCGGAAGTGGACAGATATTAGTACATTTTTGGTATAGATATTAGTACATTTTTGGTATAAATATTCTACTTTTTGCGAAATGGTTTTTAGAAAAAAAATTCTTAGAAATTGAAGTGCCGAGAAGAGAAGGGATTTCTATGCCCAATCTCGGAAAATGGAGATGTAGTTGTGTAAATCTGCTTGGTTGTCATCCGATGCTCAAGGGTAATTTCAAAACTCAAATTCAGTTTATACTTTTTATCATTATCTAAGACATCTGTCTATTTTTTTTTATCTCTCTCCCGTTCGAAGATGTTGAATTAAAAATATTTCAGAAATGAACGCAAATAATTTCAAAAATTCAATCTCAATGCCTCCCGTGTCAATCGCAATAATAACAACAAAAGCAACAGGCGCACATGGAGAAGCCATAGGAATATGGCATGTGCAATTTGTGAATAAAATGAATTTGATTCATTTAGAATTCAATGTTAACTAGTTTGTGCATGGGAACGAAACGAGTCTCTCAAGTATTACAGAATGCTATTTAAGCTGAGCAGGTGTTGAGGGCACGTGGCAACAACAGAGTTATTTTTATACTAGATATGCATATATGGTAATAATGGATTTATCTTCTTATTATATATATATTTTCAGCTATAGCTCATAATTGTTGAACATAAATAATATAAAATATATCTAGTCGGGTTATAATCATAATGTCATGCCGTGAAACGTGTTACTAATTCTCAAGTTTTTAAAAAAAGATGAATGTTCTCAAAAAAATGTGTCTGCACGCGTTTTTCATTAGCTAAACTACTTAGAAATTAGCTATCAAGGAAGTAAACATTTACCAGACATATTTTTAATTTCGTGTTTAATATGAAAATATCAACAGACGATCATTAGGAGTATAGATGTTGCTATATATATATAGATCAGCACGAATCAAAATTGAATAAGAGAACAAGAGTCAATAGACAAACAATAAAAGAATTGTAAAAACTTTCTGGTACCTTATTAAACCTAATTGGATCTTGAGCGAATTAAGAATCACCGTTTTTTCCAGAGAGTTTTCTAGAACGAAGTTTAACAAAAACCAGAGAGATAATATGACTCGCTTAGCAACAATTTGTGGTAAACTTCGCTTGGGGAAACCAGAAAGTGCTCTGTGGTTTAAGAACATTTCACACGAACCCAAAAATTATACATATTTTGTGTATGTGTTTTTTGTATATAAGTATTTTGGACTCGCACGACTGGAAGTTTATTTAGAAAGAAGCGTAGAAGTATTCACTACAGTTTGAAATAAAGTTGGCAATGTGAAGGTTATATTTGGAGAGTGAACACAAAATCAAAAATAAATTAAATAACAAAATTAAGTACCAAGGCTATACCAATTTAATTAGAAAATGTTACGCCGCCTGCTGGAAAAACTCGAAACCGCTAAGGGTAAAAATTCGAAACGCAAACAAAACAATCAACATGATATAGGTGTGCTGAAAAAATCCCAGTTTTGTAAGTTATCACGTAAATATGTTAATCTCATATAAGAGAATTTTTCTGTTTACCCATTAGATATCAGTGCTTAAACAATTGACAGAGAATGCAGAAGCTTTAAAAGTTTTGAACTCTATGCACATGCAAAAAAAAAAAACAAAAAACTTTTCAAGTTGATAAAAAATATGTGTAAAATTTTGTCAGTTTCTAAATAAAATAGTTCCGTGCGATTTACATCAAATTATGTGAATAATTCATTAAAATGTTCTATATAATTGCTTGATTTAATTCATCTAGTTTATATATTACATTTCTGATTTGAAACTATGTCATTTATTTTTGAAAGTACACTAAGAAAAAAGATTATTCAGAAAAATATATTTCTTTGAAAGTTGGGGCTTTCTGATAAGCAAGGCTTCCATTTCAGGATAGATTTTTCTAAAATTTTGAAATAATATGTCTAGAAAAAAAAACGTATTTTTTGTCAGTCTTTCTAATTTTAAGAAGAATGCTTTCTTACATTTTTTTTTTATTATTTTTAAGACGATTTTCATTTTATGTAGATTTTTTCCTAGATTACTATTGCTGTAGAAACATCCTGTGGCTATTGTGCATCTCTCTTCGAAGATGATGCAAATAATCGTAGTTGAAATCTGTTTAAATTGGCATATTAAATCAAAGTGCACAATCTGGCTGGGTGTATAAATTTATGACACTGTGTAATTGTGTAATTATTTGATTACAGGTCATGCGGATGGAAAGCTGAGCAAAACTTATTGCAAATGTGATCCAACGGCCTGCAAGTGTGACAAAAAGAAGCAAGGGGACTATCAGAGGTTGTTGTTGTCGCAACTGCGGCGACGGGGCGCTGATAACTTATCAAGTGTTATATTATTCTAGTATACTCTATGCAATATATAAATAAAAAACAACAATAACAACCATAAACAACTACAGTAAAAAAACTATTTGAAAACGCGGTGGGTATTTGAATACATATACACTTTGGGCTCTTCTAAGATAAGTTAACTTATAAAAAAGCTAAATTTAAATGGTTGTTAAAGTTCCCGACCTAGCTTATCTATAGAGTGCAATGAGAGATTTGTTAAGAAATATACTTTGAAATACACTTTCTTAATTTGAATCGCAATTGATTATGACGCCATATCAAAACCTGTTGCACAATTATTCTTGGTAATCAATTGGGATATGTTCTCGAAAGACTGAGCTGCTTCTTGTTAATATTTTTTGTTTTCAATTTGATTGCACAACGCCTTCAATTTTTCAAGTGTTCTTGTAAACAGTAGTATATATAGTAAAATAAGTACATATAGTAAACTAAGTGGTTGTTTTTAAAGCGCTTCAGTTGTACTTAACTTGTTTACAACTGTCAGACAAATAAGACAATTGGTTTTATTGTGCAAGTTGTAACTCAACCTAAAAAGAGGTGTGCGACTTTGAATAATTAATGTGTTAGCACTCTGAATTAGAGTACCTGTGTGAAGTTTTGTAAACGAAAAAACAAATTAGCTAAATTAGGGAAAACGCAAAAGATTACATGCTCTTGTAGACCGAAGTCGAAACTTACATTTTAATAAGCTGTTTTTTTTTTCCACATGTGAAAAGCACAATAAGACGCATATTGAAAGTTGGTTGGAATAGTTGTAGACGTGTCCTTCAAAAAGTTCATGACAACATCATAAATTGAGTATACTTTAAGTTTGGGTACCCATGGATAAAACTAACCAAATATACACTTATCTATATGAGTAAGCTTTATCGGAGAGCAGATAAACAAGTAAGAATGCTCTTGTCTGGAATACTGCACTAAGAGATACCCTTAAATATATTTTATCCAATCTTAATTAAATTTCTACAGTTGATCAATAGTATGTCAAGGTATATTCATACCTATATTTTGTGGCTATTTTTCTAACTGGTTAAACAAAGTCGATATGCTCTTGTACTTTTTTCTTCACATATTTCATCTAAACAACGTTTCATATATTATAATCAAATAATTAAAGGTTTCTTTAAAAATTGCATGTAAACGTTAAGTTTTGTTTTCCGATTTTGTCGGTTGTATTTGGTGAAACTAACACACTATTTTCCAGCATATGTTCCAGTTGTTCAATATAGGTAAATTATATGGAATTTTGTTTTAATTTTCAGAGCTCTCTTGAGAGACAACAAAAAGAATTTTAATATGAAATATAAATATGTAGAATAAAAAACTGACATCGCCAAAATAAATTGTTTAATTATATATGTATACATATACGGTGCAACTTCTCTAGCTCAATCGACCATCAATTATGAAAATTCAAAATAAAAAACTTCATTTTGCCACACGAGCGCCCGTCAAATAATAAAATTAATATTTTGTAGACCGATAAGAAAAAGGCCAACCAAACGGAAAACGTATTCCATGCATTGGCTATCAATATAATTGAAATTTGTGTAACCTTCCACAGAAGGTAGCACTGCTTCTTATCTATCATATATTTTATCTCACAGATCGCGTTGACTCGGAATGATTTATCATGCTAAGAAAAATGGCTTATTGCGTTCTTAAATATGTGCAGAAGGATTGCAAAGTGAGGTAAAATCAGTTTAAGACGCAAATATACTTGAGTACCTTCATAAAAGGTTGTTTCTTTCTTTATTTATTGTTTGCCTCTGTGTGTGTCACACACCATTACCAGAAATTGTTAACTAAACCTGCCCCGAGCTCAAATACCTAAACGTAGTATATTTCTGAACAAATACCAAGTGAATTGCGCATTGATAAATACAATCAATACAAATAATGTGCATTTTATAGGGCCAAAAATTAAAAAAAAAATAACTAGGAAGTATTACTTTTATATTTGTATGTTTTTTGGTATGTAAATAACGCATTTGTCACAGTCTCCGAAATAATATTTTAAGATGTATTGCTCAACCAGCAATGAGTGCTTAACTGAAACAATAAATATTTATCAAGTTCATTTGATGTTCTTTTTGTTTTTGCTCGCCTTCTCACCTATTCAAATAAAATGGGATGAGTGTGTTGCACGTGATTGCTCAATAATAAAATTGATGTAAGACTCATCTGTTGCTCAGAAAAAACCGGTCCTAAAATGAAAATTGCTCTGAAAACTAAATTGCTTGTCTTGTTTTTAGAAAATATTTTTAAATATAGAAAGAAAATTTGCGAAAACTGGAACGGTGTGCCCTAAATTATTAAGATATGCATTTCTAAAAGTACAAGTGCAAACCCTAATTTTTAGCAGAAATCCTTCTTACAATGCAGAAACAATTAATGCAATTTTCTGGCTCAACTTTTATGTTAGATTTTAGCTGTTGTCTACTTTTATAAGCCTTTTAAATGGTTTGTATATGCGGCATCTGAAAACACTAATGTTAATTAATAATATAAGCTACCAACAAGCTAATGTTACGAGTCACGTATTAAAAAACCCTGTAAAAATTAAACATATTTTTTTTTCGAATTTATCGAAGAAAAAAAAACATGAATTTAATAAAAGAAAAACCCTGATTTTTAATAATAATCTTTCTGGAGTTAAGGTGAGTTACCCTTGGCGCTAAAATTGAAAAGCGTATTTTTAAAATTCAGTGCGCTTTTGTTCTGCTGAGTGTATAAAGCGGAACAACCAAATTATTATTGATAGGGTACAAGAAGTGAATGCAGTGCGTGGTCTGATTTGATAAGAAACTAGGGTAAATGTTTCGAAAGCTGAATTTGTCGTTGTGCACACTTACCCGTAGTAGCCAGGTGAGCACACTCTCCCGATAGGGCACAAATGTGCTGGGTGTGAGGGAACCGCCGCCAGCCGGTTTGCGGGCATCCGCCAGCGCTGCAATCACTTTGCCCAGCGTCAGAAGGCTCTTATTGATGCTGACGCCCTCACGTATCCGTTCGCCATTCGAGCCGGAAGCGCTGATGCGTTCACTGCCCGCCAGATCCACCAGACTGATCTTGCTGCGTCGCGTTTGGCGCAGCGAAACAACTGTGCCCGAGTCCGTGTCCGAAGATTGGCCATCATCGCTACTTAAATCGGTCAGATTGAGCACGATGTTGAATATGGAATGGGAGCGGGAACTTTTGTCATTCATTGCCGTTGCGGCGGTGGCGCGTTGGGAGTTGCCCACCGCCAGCCAGTTGCGCAGCGCCGAATACGAGTCCACCGAATGTGCGCTTAAATCCACCACATATGGCCCAAAAATGGGATGCTCACGCACCTTTAAAGCTTGGCGCTGCACAGGCGCTTCTGTGGCAGTGGCCAAAGCCTGCTGCACGCTCAGCAAATCATGAATTTTCTCATTGTAAATCTCAAAGTAGCTGACCTCCACCTCCACCTGAAAATAATTGAATTAGGTAACAACATATACATATGTCCATGTATAATGACCTACTTGGAGTTGATCTTTGACGGCATCGATGCGCCGAAAGAGATCGTGACAGAAACGTGGTATGATTCCGGCCTCCACATGCGGTGCGTTGCCATCGAGGGCAGCATCGTCGAGCGCCTCAATGCCCATCATGCAGTAGGATTTGCCAGATCCCGTCTGCCCGTAGGCAAATAGGCAGGCATTGTAACCCTCGAAGGCGGTGTCGATCAGGGGTTGAGCTGTGCCTGCGAACACAGCCAGCTGATCCGCATAGTTCTTGCTGTGAGGATCACAGGAATAGTACACCTGATCGTAGTTAAAGAAGTGCGAGACTCCAGCCGAGGCATCCGCACTGCTGCCCGCCTGCACGCTGAGCTCGTTGTGGCCATGGACGTGGACCACATTGGTGACGCTGTTGCGAGTGCATTCAACTGCATTTAGCGGACGCACACGCACCGCCACAATCATATTGCTCTCCTCAGCGAGGCTGTAAGTGGACTCCAACAGGGCATCCTTTTCCCTTTCTTTATCCTTGAGTTTGCACGCTGACTTCGTTTTGCTGGGCGTTTGTCGCCTTGGCGTCGTTTTGCCTACGCCGCGATAGAGGGAGGAGGGTGTGTAGCAGGCATTCAAAGCGGTCGGTTTTGGCCGTGGCTGTGGTGTCGGTATGCCGCTAGTAAAACCCGTATTTAGCAGCTGCTGCTCCGGTTTCTCCGTGCTCCGCTTGGGCGTCCGGCAGAGCACCTTGCGTCGCAGGCCGGCGGCAACTGTGGATGGCGTTTTGTGGGCACTGCTCACTGCACGTGCTTGGTATTGATGGATGCGCTGCTGCACGGGCACGGGCGTGCTTTTGTTACTCATTTTATTAGCTTTCAATTCAAATGAAAATGTTTGTTATGTTTCGAAATAGCGCGCGTCGCGTCGTTTGTTTTGTAGTTTTTTCATGCTAGTGATGTGCAAGTTGCGATAGCCAAGCGTGCGTGAGTTTTCGTTGCGTGAGCAACATGTGTGTTCTACAAACAGACATCTGGCAACGCTATGCCTATCGATGACTTGACTTTACAGTATTTTCATAATTTACTTTATTTGTCTACTTAAAAATACTAATTGTGCTAGTAAACACAAGCTTCAATTTAACCAACAATTTTTTATTCTTGTAAATGTCAAGTACTTCAGATATCGTGTTATCGATACCTGTGCAGCATCGATACTCTTGGATGTTTGTTGTTGTTTTGCATTGCAGTTCTGCATGTAGCCGACGTCGACAAAAACTAAATAGATCCCAGTTGGCACTGCATGTTCGACACAAAGTAGAGAAATACACTAATTAACAGAACACCAATTAGAAATTTACTATTGTAAGTGCATCAGCAAGCAGACGTTTTAGCCAGCCGCTAGCAACTTCCTAGTTTTGCCCCCACACACCCAACGAGCGATATAATATAAATAAGCGCGTTTCGAGAGCAGGTTTTGCATTTGAAGCAAAACAGTGCTCGGCACACGTGCAACGCAATTAAAGTCGGGTTCCAGTAACAAAAAAGAAAGAAAAAAAAGACGGCAACACAGAGTCTGAGTCAGAGTAGAATGTCTCAACAACCTGTGGCATTTCTGACGCGCCGCGAAACGTTCAGCGCTTGTCATCGCCTGCACAGGTAATACAAACCAGGAAATTAGAATAGTTCGAAAAATGTCGTATGACATTTTTAGTGCATTCTATATTTATTTTTATTATATTTAATTATTAAACATAAAGAAATTTATTTAGCTATAGCACTACTGCAAAAAATTACTTGTCGAAGTGGTGAAAACTGCAGTTAAAATAATTTGTTTATCTACAATTTACAATTAAATATTTCAATTAATTTGTTAATTTACAAACCAAAGCTAAATAAATTAATTTTATTGATTTAAAATTAATAAATATATCTATGATGGACAGTTATTTATATTTACTTAAAATCCGACATTTATTTATTTATTATTTGCAGTCCTCAACTAAGCGATGCTGAAAATTTGGAGGTATTCGGCAAATGCAACAATCTTCACGGACACGGCCACAACTATACGGGTTAGTTGATATATAATTCCACAAATATGTTGCAGTTAAATGCGTGATTAGTTGCGATTTAGCTGGAGATATTGCATTACATTCCGATTTGCTTGTGGCACAACCGCCTCGGTTATGGGCAATTTGATACGAAACAATGTGGAACCACAGAAAGAAAACCTTGGCCGATAAGCTCGCTTATCAACCCATGTTCAAGTTCAACATTAAGCGAATCTCAAATGGCAAGGTTGTTGAAATTTATTGTTATTTCGAGGTCGATCGGGAAATAGAACTGTCTGGCAAATAACATCGGTGCATTAAGTGTTGAATCTATAATCGATTTAAATTCCAAATGTAGATTATTTATTCTATATTTATTTTTATTCCTAGTTGAATTGACTGTTCGCGGACCAATCGATCAACGCACTGGAATGGTGCTTAACATAACAGAATTAAAAGATGCCATCGAAACAGTCATCATGAAGCGTTTGGATCACAAGAATCTGGACAAGGATGTTGAATATTTTGCCAAAATAGTAAACAAATGCACAATAAGAATATAATATGTATGTATTATAATATTTCCATAATTGCAGCCAAGCACAACTGAGAATTTGGCCGTATATATTTGGGACAATATACGCACTCATCTCAAGAAGCCCGAGCTTCTCTATGAGGTGAGAATATTCGAGACACCAAAGAATATAGTAACCTATCGTGGCCCGTATCAATTGAATGGGTTATCGAATCCGATTATTAAACGCATCGCGCGTGATTCCTGTACCAATATCTCATCCGATTCAGACTAAATCGGCGGATTTCCTTATGAATTTTTTATTTGGACCAATGCTCAGTAAAGCACAACTTTTATACTTACACTTACTGTGAAACTGCATATAAATATATATTTAAATATTATCAAGTGAGTTATACGATTTTAAATATATAATATATATATAAATATGCATAGCCTTCATTACATTCAAATTACAATTATGAGAATTATATGCAATAAATATTGTAACAAAAACCATTTGTGTTTCCTACAATTTTTATTATGCAGAAATAGTCATTTTAACAGTTGCGTGATTTATTTAATTAGTACATGTTGTCCTTATTATATAGTATATATGTATATCATTAATATTGCCCCTATGTACTTTCTAAATGGCAGCTAAATACTTAAACACGCTATTGAAATGTATTTAATTGTTTGTTGGACAGGTAAGCTAATTAGTTGTTCAAGTTCTGCATAACTTATCTCATACGCACATGTATTTAGATACATATATAAATTATTTATATTGCTTAGGCATTAGCTGTAACACTAATATATATCACGTTGTCTATAGTAAACTCTCCAAACAATTAACAATACTTCCTTAGTGAACGCGCAGTTGACAGATGAGCATGTTTTTAAAGATATTGAACAATTTTCATACAAAGGAATCCATTTGCTATATGTGCTATATTTATCAACCATTTCGCACAAACAAACACAAATAATGATATTTATGCTAAACTTTATAACAAACTTTATAGAACGGGAATCCAACAAAATAACCACTAAACCTATTTATTGGTTAGTGTATTTAATAAACTTTTTGAGAAACTTTACAATAAACAAGTTTCAAGCATTTTTGATGCAAATAATAACCCCCAATTACAAATATGAAACTATCTCAATATCTCATCAACTTTCAACTATCATTAATTAAGCATAGATTTAAATAGAAATTAGAATTCTTTAACTGAGCTTTAGTCTGTTGTGTCGATATGTTGCATGTATAGGCTGCAGTAGATATGCCAATCTTTCGAATCTGTGGGGATCAGCAATGAAATATGCATTTAAATGTAGGAATTGGAAACTTTTGTGATTGGGCCAACGGAAAGTAAGTGGATTAGTAAAGTGGGATGCATAGTTATCTTTTACAGGTTTGGATTAGTTTGCTTACCATATGAGTGCAGTCAAGAAATTAAATAAATATGGGAAAGCAAAGCAATTTGTTTAAGATTCTCGATTTATTGGGAATCTCAGGGTTCATGTGTCAATTGAACATATCACAGTCTGTTTGTACAGATTGGAAAACCATTTTTTTTTGAAGGCTTGACTGAACCCATATAAGAGGATTGGAATTATTGGGATATGCGAGTGTTTTCACAGCACAACTAAGGGGTAGTACTATATACATATATGTTATATATCTAATATGCCTATACTTTAGTACTAAGCAATACTAAATTTAACAAAGGCCTAATGCTTTTACAGACTTAACCGCAATGCAACAAATTAGCTACGATTTTAATAATAAATATAATTTGACAACTAGTTAAAAATTGATTGCGTACTAAAAACTAAATTACAATTTTACCAACTAATTAAAGCGTTTTACGTCTTATTTTTTGGTTTAGTTAAATATATATTTTTGGTCTATGAAGGCAATTGTTATCGGTTGTAGTCATTGTTGAGCTTAAATAGTGTTCCGCAGTGCCTTACCTGGATTTCCTATAGATATGAACGGTATGCCGAACTCAAACTCATTCTTTGGCCAATACTTGAGCAGCGGCTGGCGCTGTGGCAGCTCGGACTCTACATAGAAATATGCGAACAGAACTAGCACCGTGTAGGCGGCTATAAATATTAATATATGCCAAAAACCGTGCAAATACGGAAAGTTGATTGAGGACCAGGCCTCGCAAAACAGGCGATCGTTGATCCAACAGAAAACGGCCACGCCCCAAACGGTTGTGGCACGCAGGCCCAAGCGATAAACTCGCTGATCTCGAACTCTATCAAAGAAAATATAATTTAAATAGTTTTTTAATCTGCTTATGGTTCACAACTGCTGATGAACTAGTGAACCTAAAATGAAAACGTGGAAAATGATGATTCAGCTTAATTATGTAAGTGAGATCTACAATTTAGAAGACATCCCAATTAAATACGAGAAAGAAGGTCTAACTTAGGCACATTATTGTTTTAATTAATGGAATGTTACCGTAAAATACCAATCATATTTAGTGATTTACTATTAAACATAAACAATTGATTGACAGTTTAAGATTGCAAATCACACATAAATACTTTAAAAAAATAATAGTTTACAAAATAAATCTATATTTATAGAATAAAAGAATCGTTGATAAACTTACAATGCACAAAAAGCAACAGAAATAATTAAATGGGAAAAATGAATAAATATAAATAAAATAATATGAGTGCAAGCAGAACATAAATATACAAGCAAAAAATACTTTGTTTTATCTATTTTTATTTTGTTTTCGAAATTCAATTGTCACGAATATCTTTGAGTTAAGCATAAGTATTTATATTCACTCCATTATATATACTACAGTCATTATTTTCTACTATTTATTTCGTTTTTATAAAACGTCTGCAACGACGAAGTTGAGTTTAATATGGCACAGAAAAGACAATTACAATTTCAGAGACTCTCATAATTGTGCAATATTTTTTCTTGTAATTTGTTTTTGTTTTAATAATCTTAATCATTATCAATCATTTATTATACCTTTTTAGACACGTGCAGATAGTTTTATTATATATTCTTGATAAGCATTAATTGTCGACTAGATATAGTTGCGATTGTCTGTTTGCCCGATCCGTCAGTTCAGTTATTCAGTTATTGAAAAATTTGGAATATCTCTATTCTTGTTTGCTATCGGAGTTGAGTCGGATCATTTTATTTGACAGCTGTTGTCTGTCGAAAGATAAGTTCTTCTTTACCAAAACTGACTAGTTGCAAGTCTTACTTATTTTTTCTCTTTAGTTTGTTTCTAGAAGTTGCTGCACAAATTAGAAAACTTACTCCAACTCCAACACTATTAATATCGGTCGATCCGTCATTTATAAGCATTTGATCGATGCCTAGTTTTGATAAGATATAATCAGGCGACGTAATAAATTAAAGGGTAACTTGACTGAACTTTGACTCGTTCAACTAATTACGATACTGCGAATGGAAATGTCAATATATTTGATAGTTGATAGAACCGAGTGTTAAACATGCAAAACAAAACTTGATAAGGATTGGATGATTTATATGAATGTGTATGTACACATATATATATATATATATATATATATATATATATATATATATATATATATTGTATAGATTGTTTGATAATGGGCGACAGTAGTTGCTTGTTGTTTGACTTATCGGTCAAAGCCAGCAAGTGCAGGCAAGTGCAACTGATAAAGTTACGTTTTTGGGTAAGCAACCAAATCATATCATACCTCTGCAGCTCAGTGTAGAGCATTATCATTGTCGGCACGCCCATGAGCATAAGAACAAAGGCATTAACTATGGGCTTCCACCAGCACAAAGCCGTTGCGATAATGGCCGACAGTAACATGAGCCAACTGAAGGCTTTGCTGTAAAGTAGACAAAGGTATTTTGGGCTTATCATTTTTATTTTTCAATAAATTAAATGAACTTACCGATCGTTCTTCACGAACTTTGGGTAGTATCGCTTGGGATAGAACAGCGCGAAGCCGGCTAGAAACACCCACAGAATGGCCAGTTCATCCAGCAGTTGACCCAACAAGCTGAGCGTGGCATGAAAGTACATGGAACTCAGACCCACGACAATCAGCAGCACCCACAGCAAGTGTATTCCGGGCGTGACAAATCGTCCGTATTCCTTAAACAGCACAATTAATACTGGCGGCAGTAGAATGAACAGAAAGTTGCTGAACTGCAAAAGCCAAGAGATAAATTTAGCACATTTCGATTATTGATTATATAAGAAACATAAATAAACCAGAATATAAATATTTTATTCAGCATTCTATTTTGCTGAAAGAATATACAATTTTTAATCACATTCAACTGTATAAATTAATAGGCCTAACAAATAGAAAGCTGGGCAGCATTTTAATAAGATCAAGAAATATACATATGTATAAGAATATTTTAATAAGCAGAGCTTCATCCACTGACCACTGGGCGCCTATTTTATTTTTAAATGTTGGGACTAGTTTTGTGCCATAATTTGGCATCATGCCAAGTGAATTAACCACTTTGCGAGGTATGTGGTGTGTGTCAAAAGGGTTGCCGTGTCATTTGTTAAAGCACATTAAACAATTTTGTACAATTTGTGTTTTATTTAAACAACACGAAACAGGGTAACAAAGAATGAGTCAAAAGATATGCGAGAAAAAACATAATTAACAAAATAATGACAAAATAAGTGCGACAAGCAAAATAAAAATATTTAAATACACTTTATGTATGCAAGTTGAGAGAGAACAAAAATAAATATAAATTTAAGTGCAACTCGTCATAATGAAAGTCGGCAAACAAGGCAATTCAGTAAATGACCTAAAAGTAGTTCATCAACTCATCGCCCTTCACACTATAGCTATAAACAAATTGCAGCTGGCAATTAATTTGGCAATTAGACAGTGTAAACAATTACAATTGAATGTGTATCATCATCATCATTAGAGATTCATTACATTAGAAGCATATTGAAAAACACTGATCAATTACTATTTTACACACTTAAATAAACCAAATAAATAATACCTAGTCTTTACGCCAATTTAGGTAAATGTGAACAAACAAGAGTCAAGTTATATTTGTATAACGATTTGACTTTAGGTGCGCGAGAACTACTTTTAATCTAAACATTACTTTTCTTATCTATTTGATGGAGCGCCTACATTAACGTAAATGGTTCATACAATCATATTATGATAGATCGTGTGAAATCAGAGCAGTCATCAATCAACAGAAATATGAGAAAAAATAATAAAAGTCTGTTCTAATTAGAATTCCAAATCGCATGTTTAAATATAAATGCAGTTATAGCACTTAAATTATATAGACGCTTTTTACATTGTACTTTTAGCAAGTTTGATATTATTTAATTTATAACTCATCCATTAGCCAAATAGCTAAATCATCTACATTTAGGTCATGGCAAAAATTCGAATTTTCGATGAATTCGCTATAAAAATAAATGTGTAATAATCGCCCAAAATAATTCCAGTAATATTCAATAATACTAATTTTTCAATCATATATTATTTGCGATTTTAGTGGTTACACGCTTATTTCAGCAGCTACTGTTTGGTGTCCTAAATTCTAGAATACTAAGTATTGTAATTTCAAATAGTTGATAAGAACTGCGCAAAAGATTTAGAAGCAAAACGATGGAAACAAGTAAGATTTCTTTAGGCGAGAGAAGTCGACTAGCTTATACCCAGTACTCAAGAATATTCGATGGATATGGAAAATTAACTCGGCTTTTGATTCTGATGAAGAACTGAAGTATATATTTTTTGGGGCCGCAGATGTGTCCTACTTTTGCACAACTTAATTATGCCCTTTTTGGTCATATTCAATGGGAGCAGGGTATAAGCCCGATTGCACACGTACTTGGGTTTATACAAAGGAATCATGACAAAGCCGATTACTCACTATTTGTATATAATATGAAAAGAGCCTTCGGTGTATCTGTGATAAATATGACGAAATGAATATACGCATTAAAATTTACATAGAAATCTACGCAGATAGCTTAAGAAATTAAATGCGAAACGCAGATAATGAAATGCAATAACAAACGGTACAAAGAACCGTTGTAACTACAGCAGCTGGCAATGGCATGTGCTGGCTAACAGCATAATTCCTTTGTCAACGCAATGTACAGATGTTTATATACATATATATATTTATATATGTATCAGAGTTAATTACACATACGCACCGTGTTGACGAACTCAGCAATATTCGATGATATTAAATAATTGCCCTCGCACCAATCAACGGGAGAACTTCCGGGTCGGAATAAATAAATTGCATAAATGTCCATAACATTGCCCGTGTCCATGTTGAGTTCACTTGAAGTTAATAGAATTAATTTGTGCGCTTTTCTTTTGTTTTGATTTGGTCTTTTGTTGTTGTTTTTTTTGTGCTAAATTTTGAACCGACTTTTTTGTATATTTATATTTTATTATTGTTAGCAAAATTTGAGCAGTTATTTCGAGAAATTGTTTGCATAATTGCTTGAATTTACATATACATTTGCAATTTATTTTGAATGCATTTGTTTTGTTATCGGATTTCTGTGTTTACATGTTGCCTGTTCTTGTTTCTTTTCAATGTTGCATGCAACTTGTCTTATATAAGTGTCTTTTGCGACTCCTTTTTACACCGTTCAAGGATGGTTGGTTCAGTTTTCAATTGTATGTTTTGTCATTGTACGCTATATTTTGCGTAGGTTTCTCCGCATGAGAAGTGAAAACTAAATTATTGCTAGGAACGCGGAACAAGCACGTCTGTCGCGTTGGCGTACATTTTGTTTACTGTTAATGTTATGTTATTCTTCTCGGAGTGCTACTAGAATTACGGCAATGAGTATTTCGGCCGATAAGCCAGTGCTGTACAACGCGTTTACGAATAATTGATTCGGCAAAGCGATAAGTAATACACCAGGAGTATTCTCTTGTTTTTGTAAATATAAATAACATACATTTTTGCGATGCGCCGTAAGATTTTGGCATGCCTAAAATTCAGCATAATTCCTACATTACCAAAGGACATTCTCAAATCATTTTGTTGCAATATGCGGTCAGTATTTCTTTCGATAAATTTGGTCCACCACTAAGAATATTTGACATTCACTACGAAAATGGAAACAAACCAAATTTAAAAATGCCCGGCAATCAATAGTATATTGAATTAGCACTATTTAAGACAACAAGGTGTCCATTGACAGGTCTTCAGATTTCGATTATACCGAAAAACAATATCGGTTAGCGAAGTTTCCATAAATGCCTTAAAATCTTTGATTTTAAGCAATTTTTTACAATAAATTTGATATCAGATTATCAAGACATTTCGTACATTCAAATATGGAGGGAAAGCAAATATTGTTTTGATATTACACGGTCGTGCTTAATATCGATATACATCTCATGATACAAATCGCTAAGTGCTTGGAATCGATGTTTTCACATTTCTTTTTTGCCGGCACGCGTTTGTATTGAGATTGGGTTTGATATTTTCTGATTTAATATTTGGGTCGGCAATCATGTTTCCACAACGAAGTTCGGTAACTTACCAAACGCCGGCTACTCACCAACCGCCACCGGCCAAGGAGCTGGCTGGCAACCTGGACTATCCGAATCTGAACGTGGCCGACATGAATGCGCGCCTGGAGGATTTATCGCCTCGTCTACACGACTGTTTCGACAGCATATCCATAAATGAGCTGCAACATGTGGCGCTGGCCACTAATCATCGCGACGGTGTCCAGTGGTGGGGCATGCTCTTTGGCTACAGCCGAACTGATCACATGTCGGTGGACAATGCTGATTTCAAGCTGCAATGCGAATATACCGTTAATATATTGCGCTACGCGGATGACAATGTGCTGCTGGTGGCCCTGGGTGATGCCCGTCTCCAAGCCTGGTCGACGTACTCCTCGGTGCGGAATCCCAACTCGCCGTATTGTTTGTTTCTCGTCGGTGAGGATGCGGCGCACAAGGCGCCCATAAACCAGCTGTGCGTTTTCAAGTCGCGACCACAGCAAGCGGTCTCCACCTGCCTGAATAATACACTCAATGTAAGTTGGTAAAACAGGGTATCTTATTGTATTGTAAATTGCTTACTTTTTGCAGGTCTGGGATCTGTCCGGCGCTGATTTGCGTAGCATGTATCGCGCAAGCGCAGCTCATACAAATAAATTAACTGGCTTGGCCACATCGGCCACAAGTGCCGCACAGCTCATCACCTGCGATCGTGGTGGGTGTGCGCGTATCTGGGATTTGCGTGCCACGTCGCCCGCTTCCAGTTGCCTCTATGATGACAAGACACATATGCTCAGTTTCAGTTGCGCCGCTTGGTCAACACCTAGTGAGCTTCAGGGCGACAATTACATTTATCTGGGCGACTACGATGGCAATGTGCATACAGTGGATATACGTGTGCCACGCAAGCTGCAGCAAACAGATGCCTACTTCAATGTGGGGCATGTGTCGCAGCTGCTCGTGAATGGGTAAATTATAATTGATTAACTTGTAAAATCTAAACTAAATTGAATCCTTTCCAGCTCCCATTTGGCAACCATGAGTAACCAGCCCGCTGGGGTTAGGATTGTCAAAGTGGCTGGCAACAAGCACGAATTTCTTTACAGCAACGAGAATCCCCACACACGCCTCACGGATGCAGTTTGGCGAGATGAGAAAACACTGCTGACCATTGGACACGGCCGCAAATTGGCCACGCACAAGCTGTAGAATACAATATTTATAACTGCATATATTTCTGTTTTTTTTTTTCAACATTTCTGCCCTTTTTTAGTCTACATAAAATAAATACATATTCTTAAAAAAAATTGTACTAAGTATTTTTAAAAAATGCCTTGTATGAAATATATATATATTTTTTTGTTCAGAGACAACAAAGTTGTATAAGTTTTAAGTTAAGGATTGTTTTGATCCATAGAAGTGTTTGCATTTACGTTTATAAATATATCTAAACCTGGCAGGCAACTTGCAATTAACAAGTGCAACTTTGGTGTTTATATAAAAATTGATCGACTGCAAACCATTTTTGTTTGGCAAAATGAGTCAAGAAAAATTGTATTTTTCAAAGGATTGGTTTTAAACTCCTTGCGTGTTTCGCTGAATTTACAAAATTTATTCGAACATTTCCTTGTGCGTGTGTTGTATGCTGGAAACGTTATTTTGGAGAACAGAAAATATGACCCTTTCTCGGGTTAGTATTAAAAGTCAATAAACAAATATTTAAACAATAATCTCTTTACTTCAAATAAGCAACAACCATTCAAGTCATCTTATTTAATTATAATTATATTTATATTATAATTGCGTCAATAAATGCAATAATTCATATAAATTATTTGCTTTTTCTTTTTAACAACTTTAAACGAGACGCAACTGAAAAACTTACACTAAACAATATGTAAAAAAAAACAAACGCAGGGAAAATACTTTTAAATAGGGGAATGAATGCATTACAGTTATATGGCGGCTTTTCCTGCTTCGTTGCGATCGGAAAAAAATGGTCGATTAATTTTTCCAGAAAATTAAAACTTTTTCACGTTAGCTCGCTTGCGCTGAGCCGCTATCACTGCCGCCGCCGCTTAGTGGGCGGCTCCAGGAAATTGTTTTCGTCTTCACCGATCTCCATATCCTCCAGTTTCATAAGACGATTAGCCTTTTGCAGAATCGTTGTATCCCGCAGCCAGTTGCACTTGAGCACAGCATCGATTGAGGGTCTCTTCTCGGGATCCACAATGAGCATTTGTTTGATTAGCAGCTTGGCACGCTGTGAAATACTCTGCCAGGCGGGATGACGGAAGCGAAATTGGCCTTTTTTAATTTGCTCGCCAGCCGGTGACCCGTACTCATCCGAAAAGGGCAGGGTGCCACTCAAGCTACAAATAATCAGTTTGTTTTAAACACTTGTAGCTGGAAGTTGTTCAAAATGCATTGCCTTACCATGTGTAGAGGACCACACCCAGACTCCAAATATCAACTTTTTGGGTGTAGGATGCACGTCCGCCAGTGATGAGCACCTCTGGCGCTACGTAAAGGGGCGTACCGCATAGCGTACGCATAACTGAATCCTTGTGCACAAATTTGCTTAGCCCAAAGTCGGATACCTTAAGCAGCGTATCTTCATCGTTGGACTCCAGCAGCACATTGTCCGGCTTCAGATCGCGATGTGTAATGCCTGCGAATAGAATAAATTTATTTAATTAGTAGTGTAATTTTTTGAAAGCTTATTTGGAACATAAAACTTTTACAGTTCTTCTTCCCGCTGAAGATTATATCGAAATCCTAATCGAAATGTTGCTCGATTTAGATTTTACCCACCTCTATCATGCAAATATTTAACTGCATGGCACATTTGATAGAAATACAATTTGGATGTATCCTCGTTGAGTAGTTTTTTGGTGATGATGCGGTTTAGTAAATCGCCGCCGCGCATAAACTCCAGCACCATATAAACGGAGTCCGGTTTATCGACAATATCATGCATGCGCACCACGCACGGATGTGAAAGATTCTTCATGATCTTAGCCTCATTTAGCACACGCTCCGGATCGTTGAGATTGTTGTTGGGATGTGCGCTCACCTCGAGCATGTTTTTCTTAACAATTTTCATGGCGAATTGCTCGCAAGTGCGTCGTTCATAAACTAGCCTGACCAATCCATAGGCACCTGAGCCCAGTTTGCGATTTATATAATAGGTAGCAGTAATTTCCGCAGGCAGGCCAATTGCCTCATTTGGACTAAGATCCTTGAAGACAAAAGCTAAAACAATAAAATCAGGTACGAAATGTAAATGCTGCAGATTGTGAATCGGGAACATAACTTACCCTTGTAGGTGGGATGCGAGAGCGCTATGATATCGTCATTTTGTAGGATGCGCGTTTTGTTTGTGCCAATCTTTTCACCATTCACAAAAGTACCATTGCGAGAGAGATCCTAGGGGGTTGCAAATAAAAATTCATCTATTGTATTATTATTTTGGGTGCACAGTTGTAGCTGCCTACCTGTATATAAACCGGATTTGTCAGATCACAGTTTGCACGCTTTATGATAAAATGCACTTTGGATATGCGCGATAAGATTTTCTCAGGCAAATCATTGAGCGTCAATATTAAATCATTTGCTTCTCCACGTCCAGCTGAAAATTCGTCGTTGTTTAAGTCTGAAAAGAAACAAGTAAATGTTATAAAAAAAGATTATTTTAGCGTATATATATTTAGTCGACACAAAAAATAGAAGTAAAAAGTATATTAAATTCAATTCAAAATACAATTTTAATTAAAAAATAATAATAATATTTACAATGTATACAATACCCTGAAAATAATTTTTATAATTTACATTTGTTTTACAACACAGATAATAAGTTTATTATGACATTTTAGCGCTAATTAAATTTCGTAAAATCACATAACAAATATTAAGAGAAATTAGTGGTTTAAAAGAAGAACAAATATCTTTTGACATACATTATGTACTATTTGTAGTTAAATACATAAATGTTTTAAATTTTATATAAATGTTTGTTTATGCAGCTCAAAGTAGCCTTTTTCTCTGTTAACAACTTCTGCAAGCTTAATTGTTTTAAGAATCAAATTTAACTGTTCAATGCATTTCTTTTTATTGCATGAGGTAGAGATAGACGAATATGGCAATATTGACATAGGCCTCTTATCTATTTAGCCTTATACATAAATACATTGACAAAACTTTAATAAATCGCAAGTACAAAAGAACAACCATATTTTTAACATAAAAGGTAAGTTTAGTGCAACAGTTACCAACACAAAAGGACGAATGCGTATAGATAATTTTGTATGGCCTGAGGCTCGTACCGAGGGATTTGATCTTAATATTCTTGCCGTAGAGTCGGCCCCAAACGATATTCTCCATCGGTTGGCTCTCGACCTGCGTCCAAATGTTTGACGCCTGACTCTGGGTAGCCTGTGTGCCCTGCGTGTCGCGGGCCATGTTGTTTTTTCTTTAATCTTTACTTCCACTTCCTGTTAATTTTCGGTATAACTGTTTCTATGCCCGTTAAATTTGCTGCGCAATGCATATGTGCAGTTATTTATGAATATTCGTGTACACACACAGAATGACAATTAACTGAATTGTATACATAAGCGCGTCACTACATTTACAAATTTTTAACATTGAATTATTGTTGCGATCGCAAATCAACTTGAAACTATTATTTTTTACACATAAAACAACAATGTTCCTGAGCTGCGCACGACGACGGTCAGATGTATGTATGCATGTCCGTGTGTTCAGCGTCGGTTTGCCGCCATCGAGGGCTGCACAGATATGTTGCTGTCAAGTGCTGGTAAACGTCGAACGGGTTTATGGTAACTAGATAAGAGTATCTATCTCAATCATAAAGCAGCCACAGGAAAAGTTTATGGAAAGAGAGTTGGGCGTAGACCTATATGTCACTATTTAAAAAATGTAGTCTATTGAGTATTGGCTTAGGAGCAAGACTAACATATTTTGTCTAATATCTAAAAAATCAAAAATTTATCCAATATTTGTACAAGTATAGGCATAATTTTATGTAATTTAAGGCGTATATAAGATAAAAGTTCTTGTTTCGATTACGTTGAACGCGCTACCCATGCGTTCTGTTGTTCAACACTAAAGTATCGATAGATTACTTGCAGCCCTAGATTGCGGCGTCGTTTGAAAGCAACTGTAAACTATTACCAATACAAGCATAATACAGAAACCGAAGAGGCATAAAAGAAAACTGAACAACAAGAGACAAGCAAATAATTAACTTAACTTTCATAAACGCCAACATTCGGAAAACCTAACTTTCAACGAGAGGATTCAGCTGCATTTGTGAGTACTGCAAAAAGTCACCATTCTCGCTTAAGAGTGAACCGAAATAGTTTTGTGTATTTTGGTTTGAATTTGCAGATCTTTGCAGATTTAGAGATATAGGGATTTAGAGATCTGGAGATCATGACGTTGCCGCGTGCGGAGACGCCACTGCGTCGTTCAGCGGTGGGCAGCCACCGCGAGAGTATGCTGCGCGACCTCACCACCCAGGTGAACGACGATGAGGCCGAACGCCGAGAGGCGCGTCGCCGCACATTGTTGCAGAATCAAGCACGGCCCCGGGAGAGCATGGTCTTGGAGTCGATCGAGGAGAATGAAACAATACGCGATTGCCTGGCGATCTATAACGGCAACAAGCTGAGCCGGGACAATGCATGGAATTTATCCTTGATCGATACGCTCTCGTCGCTGCTCGATCGACATCACAAGACCCTTAGCAACTTTAAGGTAAGCAAAATAAGGAGTCTTCTTCCAGTGGATAATCGATACTTCCTGCTCCTGTTTTTGTTAAATTTTTTAGATGGCTGGCTCTTCGCTGGAGGCCTCTTCAAAGGTTTATGGCTTGCGTGTGGATTCCATTTATCTGGATGCGATGCGAATGGCAGCGGGTCTCAGTGCGCGCACTCTGACAGAACAGCAGCTGAATGCGGCTGCTGATCGCGACGATAGCATTGCTGGCAATGCAGAGGGCGGTTCAGCTGATGACATTGAACCGGCTCAGGCAGCGGCACCCAAGCCCAAGAAGCGTACACGCAAAGCCACGGTGACCAAGAACAAAGATACGCTGAATGCACGTTTGGACACGGCTCCATTGCAGGATCCGGTATTTGGTAAGCTCAACTCGACGGTGGGCTCCATAAATGCCTCGAATCGGCTTATGCATAATGTATTGCCCACATTGGACTCGGAGCTGCGATTGCGTACAAATTATGTCTTTTGGAACTCAGAGGAGCTACCGACGGAAGTGAAAGATTACATCTCAGTGGACCCGGAGATCAAAAACTTGGACACACAGTCGCTGGTCAGTGCCGAGTGGGCCATAAAGTTGCGGCGGTACGATCAACAGTTGATGTTGCGTCCGCTGCACTCCGGTTATATCATTACCGATGCGCCCAATCCGACCAATGCGAACGAACAACCGACTGCTGACCAGTTACCAGAGGATGATGATTTTGGGGTGGATAATGCGGATGACTTTCATGACAATCCCAAAGAGCTATCCATGGCCTTTGACATCAATGCCGAGTGCGAGCCCATGCCGCAGCTGGATGAGCCGGAGTCAAACATTCTGCCGGTGGACTACAATGAGGAGCTCGAGGAGCTAACACCCGAAGAACTTTTAGCATTGAATCGCTGTCGTGCCTTGCGCAATAAGCCGGTGGTTGTCGAAGATCTGCGACCCGTTGATGGCCGCTCGAAGCTGGAGTACTCCTACAGACCCATGGATAAAATCTCACAGTTCTGGGCGGGACCCTCACATTGGAAATTCAAGCGGATGCGAGCACGCAGCACCATTGGCCAGAGCAATGCGCTGGACAATAATTCAGCCGGTGGCAACAGTGGTGCCACAGCTGCCGCGACAAGAGCACGTCGCGCTGCTCTGCTAGCGGCAAAGCGACGCAGCAAACAGCTCAACTTTGGCGTGTACACGGAGAGTCTGTTTCAGACTCTGGATGCCAATACGAAACTGCGCAAGGCCAATTTTCAAAAGCGCTGGGATGCCCGCAAACTGATGCTGCCCACCAAATTCGACTTTGAGCCCAATTATTTCTACAAATACGATTATGCACCGAGCATTAAGGTTAGTCGACGATTTGGTGTCCAGGATGATGATGATGGCGAAATGTATATCGATACGAATGCGGCTGCTGATGATGTTGCCGACGATGTTGAGCTCTTTGACAATGATCATTTTGATGCGGACACGCCTCAATCGCCTACTCACATGAATGTGAGCACCATGCAAGGGACAAGTGTTGGTGGTGACAATGGCGACACCTTTCTGGACACTGAGTCGGCTGCAGCCCAGGGGAATGCAACGCTGCGCCACTGCAATGATACGGTGCTCGAGATATCCACCGAATTTGAGGGGGCACCAACGCAGGTGAGTGTTTAAAACTCGGCAATTAAAATGCATATTTTAGCGACTCATTTCAAAATAAGTTAAATGCTTATGATTATTATACGCCCAGCATTTCGGTCTTTATTACTGGTTCCATATTCGTTTAGTCCAGCTTGAAAATCTTGAAATTTAATTACGTTCATTTGCCCATCTGCCCTTAAGTTCGGCTTTAATGATCCATTTAAGAATCCTTTTTAATATACAAAAATAATCATCTGCTCCGGTGGGCTATTGTAGCTATTGTGGAGTATATGACAGACATAATAATTTGTCCGATCTAGAATGCATAAAACTGGCATACAAAACTTGAATTGTTTTACCAAAAATACTATGCAAAATATATATAGAGTTTGTACATTATATCATGTAACTAAATCTAATAATATGTAGTTGATAACAACTATTTCATGTATAAATATCTGATGTTTGTGCGTATCTTAACTTAACTTAACTTATCTCTTTGCGATATCTCATTCCGTATAGGTTACCAAAGTCATTGTGCCTTTTGCCAAACGTGCTAAGGTTATTGACATGAAGAATCTTAAGCGCAGCTGCAATTCCTTAATTCAAAAGCAATTGCTGAATGCCGTCGATGACGAGAAGATACCTACACACCCGAAAGCGAATCAGGAGCACTATGCCAAAGGCATGGCCACTTTTAAGGGGGTCTACAACGAGCTACCCAACCTTCTTACCCAAAAAATGGCCGAATCGCTGTCGCCGTCGGTGGCGTTTTATGCTGTTCTACATTTGGCCAACGATATGAAATTGCGTCTCTTACAACAGGATGATCTGGAAAATGTTATTATAAGACAAGTAACTGAATAAGATAGCAAATTTATTTAGCATTACAATTATCAAACACATAGACTAAAATACAGTCTATACACACATAAATGTACACCAACACACACACACATGTACACTCACACACACCTACACTGAATTCTCCTTAATCACAGTATTCCCACAAAACAAGTATCTAACAATTAGATCGTGTTCAATTTAGTTGTTCTACACTGTCAGCATTGTGGTCATTTTTATGGTTATAGTCCTCCCAAATGAATCATCATACCTTAAAATTCTGCTTATGTTTTAAAAAAACAAAATTAACTGTATTTAATTAAAGAAGATTTAAATAAGATACGATTTAATCTATTGTCTAATTTCGTTTTAGTTTCTATGCTGGTTTCTATTACTGTCAACCTTTATTACAGCTGTTCTCCCATTGTAAGTGTGCATTTTGTTGCTACTTGTTTTCAGCCTTTGCAAAACTTGCGCATTAGTTTTGTCGGCCATGTTCATTTTGTTGACACAGATGGGGGCAGATGACAAAACGGAAACTGTTGTTGAAGTCAGTTTCCTTGTTTTTCTCTGCGTTGCTGGATGAAAGTGTATGCTTGCTTTTTATAATGATTTTATCATTAATATTTTGTGAATTTGTATTGTATGTTTGACTAACCAAAAATACAAGAAACTGCAATAATATAAAGACTTTAATTTGGTTATGTTTTTTTTAATTACAATATTATAATGGTCAATAATAATAAAGATGAAAATGATTGTAAACTGAAATGTTATTGTTAACTTGGAGGAGTGTTAAGTAGAGGCAAGGATAAAAGTTCAGACGATTAGTCTGCATTTTATTAAAAAGATGATAATGAGAATAGCCGGATCTACGCAATCTCTTGATATTAGAATATAGTCGGAATTGATAAGAAAATTTTTTAAAAATGATATTATTTCATACTTTTACTGAGTGAGGAGTGTCTTGACAGAAATCATTGACTCGATTCTGCTCTTTTCTGTTTTGTGGCTGTCGCTTTTTCATTGCATATGCCGGGTCCCGTTTCAATAACGGTTTTAAGCGCGCCTTTGTTTATTTTGCCAGTTGTTTGTTGTTGCTGTTACAGACTTAAGTTGTTGCTTCCTTGCTCTCTCTCTCTCTCTCTCTCTCTCTCTCTCTACACACACACGCACACATACACACGCACACAGGAACACTGTGTGTGTTTTTGACACGTTTGTGCTGCATGTGTGCTAAAAAGTTTGCAGTTTGCTTAGCGGCTTTTACGCGTCTGCTCAGTGCTTGTGTGTGTGTGTGTATATATGTGTGTGAATGTGTGTAATTGCATATTATTTGCATAAATATTTGTTAAGTACAAAGTACAAAACACAACTCCAACAATAACAAGAGAGTCGCATAACATTTGAATAGCTTCATCAAACTTTTGACATTAGCAGCAAAGTTTTAAGTTACATTTTCTAACCTCTTCTGTACCCAGGCCCGCATTTAGTCGGTTTGTTTTAATTGTATTTGTTATACTTTTTAAATTTGTTAAATTTATTTTTAAATGACACTAAGTTAATATAAGCAGTGATATGACTCGATTCGAAAAGTTAACAAGTCCTATAAAGCAATTATTTACAAAAGATACACATCTTTTATAATCTGATTAAAGAATTAATCAATTGAGTATATTTAACTCAAAAACATTTGACGCTTTGATGAGCTAATTGTTAATTAATTAGTTGTTAATTAATTTTCAATGGCATTTGTGGAAAATACATTTTACACCGTTTAATTCTCACACTATAATTTCTACATGCATTTTTTTGTATAGCTTTAATCTACAACTGGCTGCAAATTAAACTTTTAGATATACTTTTAATACATTAATTAAGTTCACAAATGTATTAAATTATTATTAAAGAGAATTCTTATTTGATATAGAAATAATCGCCAATGAAAATTGTAGTTTAAATTATGCATGACGACTTTTTTGATGCTTCCAGCATAGAATGGAGTTTTAAAATAATTACAAAAATTGAAAGTGACATTTTCGCTAGCTTTGTAATTGAGTGCATTTTGATGTTGGCAGCAGCAAATGCAATTACAGGCGTTAAAACAAATGAGAGCCATGTTTGAAAATTACAGAAATGTGTGCAGAATGTGTTAAAGCACATTTACAGCTTACACGTATTTACAGTTGAAAGGTTAATTATCAGCAGTGATGGAGTTAAGCCAAGTAACAACAGGTAGACAACAAGCCAAGAGTCCTGCCCTTGTTTGTCTTTGCTCGTAACACTCCAGGATGTTGTTAGCAGCACTTTACCTCAGCCATTATGATGCAGAAAGTCCTCATTTCATTTTAACCCTGTTGGTTTTTGGCTTAATTTTCATGGTCATATTACATTTGTAGCTTAATTGTATTACGGATGGTGACGCAAGCAGGGCGGCTTACGAAGTTGCTGGAATTGTTGGCATTTCTACAGGGTTCTTTGGTGGCATTCGCACCAGTTAGCTCTGCAGTAAAACTTGGCCTCTGATTATGTTTATAATCCGTGCCCATTTCCACTACAGGTGGAAAATGTTGCATTGGTAATAAGGGATGCAAAAACATTTTCATTCAACAATATTTCACCATTTTCCATTCCACTTTCAAATACCATAGAAAGTAAAAATAGCTCTGCAGGAATGCACTCAAAGTGACACCCAAGTTTCATGATTGAATTAAGAATGCAAACTCCATTGAATTTGAGTGAATTAGTGTGCTCGTGTGGAAGTCATGTAGATAACATTCAAACGAAGGGAATTTCAGTAAAGTTGCCTGCATTTGTATTCATTTGTGATGATTCTATTGAGCAGAATCCTTAATAGACGAACTTCGTTAATAATATCACTAGAAATGAAGTCGATGACGAGAATTTAATGAATTTCTGTATAGTCTGCATATTTTCCGACATCCAGCTAAAAAACGTATATTTACTATCTAAATGCATTGCCAGCTGATAGATTTATTATGGTAGATCAACTCCTATTAAAACATTTGTTGATATATTTTCTAATAATCTAATAATATTAATAGAATATATGAAAATATCGGAAGTAAATATGCTGCTAATAGAACTATCTGGATGTTCTTAAGTAAGAGTTATTTTTCAGATCGCCAAATAAAATTAGATATTTGTATTTGAAAAGTGAAAAATTTTTCGTGAATCCATATCATAACCATATGCATATCATGAAGATCCTGTGACTGATTGACCACAACTATTATAGGCATCCAAGTGGTTTCCCCGTTGACTTCGCCCAGTTACAATAAGAACATTTGAAGCGAAAAAGTATAATGCCAGTTAAGATATTGGTCTGAGATTGGTCTACAATAGCATCTCAGGTCCCAAGGCATCCCAAAAAATAACACAAATCAATATTGTTGGTAACTCCTTCCGGAGTTGCATCATTTATTATACTGTGTTTTGTCGTATATAGTTTGTATTTTTATATCGGGTAAAATATTTCGTGTGTAGCATTCTGCATTTTATTTACATTTTATTATAGGTTTTTTTCTATATGCATATATTCATATAATACTTCTATTTATATCGCTTGCGACGTGGAGAAACAGCTTTAATTTTCTTAAAATTGCTGATCCTGCATCCGATTTCCTAACATATTATTTTTAAATTGATATTAAATAAAATGTGGCTTTAATCAAACAAATTAAAATGTTTGTCATACTTTCAGTGATGGTGTAAATAAAATATACAAAATATTTGTACTTAAAAACATCGTTTCTATTATTAGCGGTCAATTTTTTTTTTAGTTTTTCTGTTGTCATCATTTTAGCATTTTTTAATATTTATTTAAGTTTTAAAAATACATCAATAGAGTTCAATAAATTTAGTAGACAAATATTCATTTTATATATGCAATGTTTAAGTGTATGTAGTATTTTATATACTCATTTAATATAGTGGTAGATATATGTATATATAATTTTTTTTAGCACACAGAATATAACAATTGTTGCAGTAATACACCTTTCGGGGGCCTTTAAATGTTTTCTAAACATTTTCATCGTAATTTTAATTGAATATGCTTAAAATGTAAGCAAAATAAATCGGTTTTAAACTGTTACATTTTATTCATTCCATCTGATTAATTTGTTTTAATAAGTTTTTCAAACATTTTAAAAACCTTTTTTTGCAGTTGCCATTTATATACATTAATATTGATATTTCGATTGACTTGTCAGAGAGGCAATTAATTTGAGCTTGGACTTGGATAATCGCTTAGGGACTTTGGGTAGGCATATAAAAACGAGGCCTATAATCAAACCATTTTAAAAACCATTTACACAATTCTGTTTTCTTTAATAAATGATTGAAAACAAAGATATTGTAGCCTCTACTGTTTTAACTAAAAATTACATATATATATTTAATCATTTTTATTGAATATATTAAGTTTTATTTTGGGTATGTAATTTGCCTGCACTTTTCAATACACGTTAGTAAATAGCTGCACAAGATTTAAATTGGTTATGTATATATCAGTATATAAGATATGGTTTATATGTATGTATTCTTTAGCCGGTGTCCGTAGCTTCCTGCGCCTAACTTAAATGCCAACAAAAAACAACTTTCCCTTTGTTAAATGTTCAAAATAAATTATCTTGTTTGCTTATGTGTGTATTTTTTCGGTCAATTTATTTTGTTGCCATTGTCCTTTGTCCCGTTTTCTTTCCATTTTACAGTTGATATTTTTTTTTATTTAGTTTTGGGACTTTGGCGCCACCGACGCAGTCTCAGCAGCCAGCGGCATCTGCGAAGGACAAAAAAAACTCATTAGAGCAACCGAATAGACAAATACTCCTTTCTCTCTCTCGCTCTCTCTCTCTCTCTTTTACACGCACCTTCTGCTCGGCTGGCGCCTTGCCGGTGCTGCGTCCCCAACGCAAGCGCATTGGCTTACGAGCCTCCCGCTGGAACTGATACTCCGAGTTATTTTCATCCTGGTCCTCATCGGAGTCGATGGCATAGAAGGCATCGATGGCAGCACGTTCGGCGGCCGATTTTTCGTATTGTTGTTTCTGAGCCAACAGCATGCGAGACAGCTCTTGCACGTTCAGCCACTCGCGTTCCAATTGATCGCGTTCCAATTGATGGCGTTCGCTCTGTTAACAAATGTAGAATTGTAAAAGTTTTTCGCTTCATATCCTCAAATTGCTGGGTTTTTCCTTTCAGTATACAGTATTCAGTTTCCTCTCAATCGATTTTTCGTTATATTGAGTATTTATTTTCTATGCGATTTTCATTTATATATGATATTCATTACAAATATTAAATTAATAGGAATAAAATGGTCTACAATTTTGTTGGTTTTTGTTTTTAATTTATAATGAAATTTAGATGCCAGCAGGTGGACATCTGCTTTGGGTATGTAATCTTCTGGGTGTCTAGCAAAGCTCTTATTTCTTCTTTTATTAAACTGGATGGCAATATATCAAATTTAAGTACCATCCAAAATTTCTTCCCCTTCACTATTCTCACAGACAATTAATCTTATCTAAACTGCATAAATCTGTGAACCCAATTTCTGAAATTCACGTGTTATTTTTAAAAACTCATAATTAACATGAGTTGAAGCGATAAATACTCTATCGTAAAGGCCGAGAATTGAACTTTAATTTCTTTTGTTAAGTGTAGACAAATTGGTAAGAGGAATTAACTTATTTCTTAGTGAGGAGTAATATTATGTTGGCAGCAACAATCAACCCAAGCAGTTTGTCAAATATAATCCTCACATTGAAGCTAAAATTACCTTATCTTGGTCCAAAATATTGGTCATGATGCTGCGTAACCAGCGTAGGCGTTGAGGATTGCGGACCATTCGCTCGAAGGCTGCATCGTCGTCATCGGATACCACTGCGTCATTGCCAGTGGCTGGCTTATTCACCTGCTGGCTGTTGAGGGTCAGTTCACGCTCGAGAAGATCATCGTAGGCGGTGCGTCGCATTTGGGGTAAGTTGGGATCGCTGCGTCGACCAAAACGCAGACGCAACGAAGGCGACCTAATTGGCTTCTGGTTGACATCGCCAAACCAACGTTTCTCCACAATGTTGTTCAACATATCCGGATCACTGCGTCCAAAACGCAGGCGCAGCGATGGCGATCGTTGTGCCTTGCGCTCCACTTGATGATTCGGAAAGACAATGGGTCCGGCATATTCCCGCTGCAGCAGATTGTCGTACAGATTGTTAATGGGAGCGCCTACAAAATGGAAGAGCAAATTGGATTCTTGCTGGGCATTTGTTATTCAGTTGTTGTTCACCTTGGACTGTGGATAGCTCAGCACTGGACTGCTGAATCATTAACAGATTTATGCTAAAGAGCACTAAGGCGCAGCCGAAGATCTTCTGCGGTTTGGATTGCATCATTTTTAGTTTTCTTCAGGTAGATTCAGATACTGAAAGAGAGAAGATTGGTAAGTCAAGATTCGTGGAGACAACAATATTCAGATGAGCATATATCTCTCGTCATTTAGGAGCTAGCGTTACCAAACTTGCAAGATTACTATGAATCTCAAAAAGCATTTAGGTTACAGGTTACAATCTCCTCTTTAAAAATCACAATTAGGTACACTCACACAAGTGCTGCTGAGTGATCCTCCACCTGATTCCACGCCACAGGTCACAATGTCTTCATTACATAAAGAGCTAATCATAAATCTACATTATTCTATCATAAATCTATTTCATAATTGACCCAAAACGTGACATTTTTCTTAAAAAGATTTTGCAGCTAATGCAATAAATCAACTGAAGCAATTAAATATTAAAAACAATAAACAGCTTCTTGTCATAGAATCCCCATATCTCTATTACTTAGACACAAAATAAGTGATTATGCATTGCAATTTTTCACTTGGTTTTTTTTTCAGGATTGTCAGCTTGATTCATATATATATATATTTATTCATACATATATTCAAGTCGCTCAGCGTTGACGTTGGCGTTGAAATTGAGTCTTCTGTGAGTCGTATCAATTAGCTCCTTCCGGAAAATCTTTACGTTGGCAACAGCACTCGACACATTATTTGTCATGAATATCGGATTGCCTCATGCGCCCTTTTTCAATGCTTACGACTCAATTTCCGCTTGCCATAGCCAACACGTAAACGCCCGCTATCACGTCGACAACACGTTGCATCAACAGCGCCCCAACAAAATATATCGCATGCACTTAACGCCCCTCAGCTGAGCCTGCCGTCGATCCTTATGCATTCAAGAGTTTGCTCCGGGGTGGATTTAGCATTTATCTTCTCTCTTTTGTTGTTACAAAATTTTCCTTTGCCGTGCTTTTGCAGACTATGGGGCAAAATTGACACATTTTGCTATTCAGCGCTCTTTCTTCATCATATTTGTATCAGAAACACATGTGATATCTATATATATACCATATATACCATATATCAGCTCAAATCGCAGTCAAAGTCATAAGTTAGTTGCAATTATTTGAATATTTAAGCTATCTTAAATTTTATAACAAGCGTAAAATATTTGTAAGTCCATTCTGAGTACAGATAAAAACAGTCAGGAAAAAAGAATTTATTTTTCTTAATTTTAAAGTATATCTGAAATTGTGAGAACCTTGTATTTTAGACGAGTTCAATAGTTTTTTTTTTTTTATAGGGGGGGGGGGATTTTTTAATGCTTACAGTAACTTTTCCTGCGCATAATTTATAGATAGCTGCATTTTTTATCCAATAAAAGATTATAGATTTATTATTATTGAATGTTACAATTTGTTAATACAAAGCAAATAAAGCTCATTTTCATTTCCCTATTAAAATCTGTTGTTATAATTGAAAATATATTCATTAGCCATCAGCGGATTATACTTATTTATATTAAACCCGACCATTGTCATTGAGGTATATATTTTTGAAACAAATACCTGCCACGGTGAGTGAGCCCATGGTGCATGAGGCAACTCCTTAAATTTACACACACACATAATTCACAAGCCCTTTTCAGAATTAGTGCTGCATTCTTTTTTTGTTTCGGGTAAAGGGAAGTGGGAAAAGTGTTGGGCTCTTGAATTGTCTATGCTCAACAGTTTTTTGCAGTACTTTCGCATCTGCATCGTCATCTTATAAATAATTCACTTGACTGCTTTTTGTTGCCTTTTCCAGCTACTGTGAAACGAATTTATAGCGTTTGAAATGAACTACATTGCATCAAAGAGCTGAGCAAAATTTACACAGGTTTATTTACACCGCAAGTTTTGCATTTCAATTTAAATATGTAGTGCCTGCCACGGCTAGCAATCTGCGCAGTGTCTAACTTGAGACACACGTGCATTGCTCCTTCTATTGAAATTGCAATTTTATTGATTCGGTTAGGCTTTATTGAAGGGCAGATTGCTTCCAGTGCTGTCCTTTAGTAAGGGGCATGTATGTGTTGCACCCATTAGACCATGACTTCATTTTGTAGGCCTTCCGCTTTCTAACCCATGCATAAATCATTTGCGAACTAATGGGTGTCAATATATAATCATGTACAAAAATTAAATAAGATAGACTTAAACCGTTGCAGTCGGGCATAACCGAATGTGTTATGCTCTGCACAAGTGGAAACATGTTTTGTATGATTTATCAGCAGTCTAAGTTTATAATATCTACTCATAAGATGGCTGTGGCCATGACAAGGAAACTTAAGAACAAATCTATGAAGGAGGCCAACTCATGATAATATAACAGTTTTATAGGTGATCACTTCTGTTGGAAATAACTGTATTTGCCTATGTACACCGCAGCATGTCTTGCATTCCCGTTTTGTAGTCTTAATCTGTTGTTGCCTGCGAGCAACGGTAATTGTAAGTTCCTTATGATCAAGACCTTCTTCGATGCTATGTTTAAGCTATTTTCATGAAGTAAGAGTCAGTCGCTTTTGGTCGCTTGAATCGCGTGGTATAAGTCGCATGAAGCGGACATATATTCTGTAGTAAATACAAAGCTCTGAATAAATATAAACCCCAAGTTAAAATAACTTCTAAATTTCTAAAGATGAATTTTTGCATTTTCAATGCAACTTTCACCCTTATCTCTCTATTAACTCAAAGTTAATATTACACAACAGCAATATACTCTACTACCTTCGGTAATAGTGTATAAAATCCCTTGAACAGGTGCACTGTTCTCCTAACCTTTCGATGAGTTGACCTATTGAAAATGCCATTAAGAGCACAAAGTATGAATCACAGTAGTTGTCTGAAAAAACGTTCTCAACTTTTTATTGAATGGAAGCCGAATTGTAATTTATTCATACATTTTATTCTGAATCATGTTTTATACATTCTAAATAAATGTAATAAAAATATAAGTTTTAGGAAAACTCTGCTGAAGTTATGCAAAATTATTTCGGTTGCAAAGTTATCATGTGGAGGGGTAGCAGACCCCTTCCCTCTTCTCTGCTTTCCTTCCCCTGGTGTGCGTTATTCACTATAATATTTCTTCTCTTTCTTGAATACTTTGGAAATGTCTATGTTCGAAATAATTATCGATAAATTTGTAGTAGAGTACCGGAGCCCCATTTGTGAATTTTGCTATGCAGCAGCAGTTACAAAAAAAAACAAAACTATTTAATCAACTGGATTTCACAATTGTGCAGTTGGTTTTGTTCACTTTTGCTAACGCAACAGGCTGACACTGGCACTGACACGCCCACACCGCCTTCAGTCGAGTGTGAAAATATTTGCACATTGTGCGAAAGCAAATATTTTGTTTTTGTTACATACAAATTGAACAAGAGCGAAACAATTTTGCAATGGATCTAGGCAGTGCAGCTGTTACCAAGCTCTGTTTAATTACTGTGGGCCTTGGAAAACAATATCGCTTCAACTTCAATAGTCATTGATAAAAAAATATTTTTTTTTTACACTGAACCCAAAAGATAGAAACTGGCAAACTAAAGGAAAAGGGAAAGTGCAAAGCAAGTTTATTTAATTTTATAGATAACCTTTTCAGCTTCGCGAATTTCGAAGAAAATCATTTGCCCATAGTAATAAAAGCCATCACTTCAATTAGCGATTATTTAATGGTTTGCAAGTATTTTTTAAAAATATGTTTACTTATAATTTTATTTTTAAATACTATCATAATCGCATTAAATTAATTTAAAAGTCAAAAGCAGCCAAGTATATCTGTCTATCTGTTACTTTGAAACATTTGAATTATGCAAATTAATTTATGTTTTTTCTCTGGCAATTTGATGTACAAAATCGCCATAATAATTACATCGCAGAATCAATGATTTTTGATAGGCATAGACTTGAGTTTAAGTTTACTTCTTCAATTATAGTTGTTATTAATTGCAATTATATTGTATATCAAGGTTCTGTTTTACCAAATGCTCAATAAGTTATGTGTTAATTTTGTCAAATATTTTTTGGTTGCCAAAAAATTAGCCGCTAGAAAGGAGTTATATAAATGAATAAAAAACTACGCACATATTTCGCACGACTGCCGACCGACACAATGGGGCGTATGATTAACGCCTCAAGCCGCAAAGTAGGCAAACGCAAAAGTTACACAAAATGGCAGTCTGGCAGCCAACAACAGTGACAACAACAACAACAAGGTTTAATCAAATACGTTGATAAAACACAAAAGATTATGCCGCTCAGCTTCCTGCAAATGTAATAAGGTTTGTGTGACAAAAAGGGTCGGTTCAGCCAAAGGCTTCCCAAAAGCTGGCCATCTAATGTGTTTGTCAAAACGTTTGAATGCCAATGGCCAGGGTGCTATAAAGCAGACGCCAACAACAATAACAACGATTCGGCTCTAAGGCTGTGCATTTTTTGACCAACAGACCACAAATGACCTTTTGGCACAACGAGAATAAAAATTGTTAAATAAAAGCCAAATAAAATGTGCGCACCAAGTAAAAGAGGGCAAAAAACAAAAAAAAGAACGAAGCCAATGTCAGGCACGGAGCAACCTGTTGTGTGTGTGTGGGTGTGTGTGTGTGTGTGGGTATGTGTGTTTCTGCGTGGCTGTTAAACGTATTAGTTTAGCTTGACCAAAAGGCTATTTAAGCGTTCACTTAAGCAGCAAATGCGAAAGTATTACACGAGGCAACAAAATAGATAACCTTGAATAAAAAAATAAAATAATAATAAAAAAATAATAATAATAAAATAATAATATCACTAAAATAAACAACAATAAACTGTCAGTAGTTAAAATAGAAATAATAAAAACGCGCAACAGTTTTTGAGTCTTAACTAAACTATACAAATTAGTAGAAAAATGTAATTTACAATTTGTTCTTATTCCCCAAAATTTGTTGGATTGTGTGAGTCTGCTGTCAGAAACACACTCTGCTCTTTTCTTTATTTTTTTGCTGTTCGCTGAGGCGTGATTTAACGATGTGTTAATAGCTTGCTTATTGTATACATATTTCA